TTAAATTTTTTTTTTTTTTTTTTTTTTTTTCTTTACCTTTTAAAAAATTTTTAATTTGTCCATTTATCTAAATTTACTTAATATTTTTATCATTTTTTTTTTTCATATTTCTAAATTATTTATTATTTTATAGTAATTTTTTTTTATTGCATCGATTTGTTTATTTCGATGATTTATTAAAAAAATTAAAAATTTTTATATTATCTTTTTTTTTTTATGAAAAATTTTGTGATTTTTATTTTTATTTGGTTAATGAGAATATTATTTTTATTTTTTTATATATTTTTAACCAACATTAATATCATTTTATTTATATTAATTTTATTTAATATATATATATATAAATATAGTTTCATTATATATATGTATCTTTTTTATAGTATAATGTTGTTTAGTATATACATTTTGAGATAATATGTGAGTGTATTTCTATAATTTTTTTAATTTATATTTAAAATATTGCTTTTGATTTTAAAGAAATATTTTCCTAAATTAAAGAAAAAGAACAATAAAAAGAATTTTTAAAATATTGTAATTAATATATATATATAGATAAATATTAGTAAATACTTTTGAATTTATGTGCATTTATATATGATTTTACTTTTATAATTTTATTAGATATTACTACGAAATTTGTTTGTAAAGATATTTTTTGTTTATTTTTTAAAAATTATTTATTTTTTAGTTTATTTGTAAAAAAAAAAAAAAAAAAAAAAAAAAAAAAAAAAAANTCTATATATAAGAAATTAAAAATGAAGTAATTTTATTTTTGAAATGTAATTAAAAAAAAAAAAAAAAAAAAAAAAAAAAAAAAACAATTAATTTACAATAGTTATAAACATAATAATAGAAATGGAATAAAGTGAGATAAAATATAAAGTAAAAGATTATCAGAATAAATTTCATGAATCTTAAAGAGTAAATATAATTTAACCTATTTATAGAAGATTAACTTCTTCTATATATAAGAAATTAAAAATGAAGTAATTTTATTTTTGAAATGTAATTAAAGAAAAAAAAAAAAAAAAAAAAAAAAAAGTAATGTATTTGAAATTAAAGAGTCATTTATTTTATTTTTATTTTTATTTTTTTTTTTTTTTTTTCTTCTTCATTATATTAAGAAATGATCTATGAATTCACTATATTTTTGTAAATCTTTAAATTTATATATATTTATTCATAGTATAGAAAATGCTTTATCTAAATTTCTTTAATTTCAAAAAAACAAATACAAAAAATTATTTAAAAGTTTTTTATATTGTAAAAATAAAACTGGTAATATTATTTTTATTATATCTGTTATTTAAGAATGAGAATATTAAAGAAAAAAATATAGCATCATATATAGGAAAAAAATGGGTGGGTTTTTTATTCTTTGAAGTAAAAAAAGAGATGAATAATGAAACCATTAGTATTAAAGAAATAAAAAAAAAAGGAGAGAAAATTTATTTAGAAGACAAAAATGATACATATAATAATAATATTAACGACATTATTAATTGTCTTTTTAATTTAAACAAAGAAGTATATAATAATATTTGTAATTTTAATATTTTTAATAAAATATTTATGAAAAAAAATAAATATTATAAAGAAATATTTAAGAATAAGACAAAATTTCATAGAATTTTAAGTGAAGACGAAGCAAAGAACAATCAATTACCAACTGCATCTAATGAAGTATCAGAAGGGATAGTTTTTTTTTGTTTTATATTTTTATCAGCGACAATGTTGCAATTTATTTTATCAAAAATACATAAGTTAAATATTCCTGTATCAGTTATTTGGTTTTTATATGGAATGTGTACATATTTAATAGCAAAAAATTTCAATATTTTTAAGGATAACTTATTGCATAAATCTATAATTAATGCTAGAAATATAGATTCTTCAGTTTTATATTTTGTATTATTACCAATATTATTATATGAAGCAACTCAAGATATTAATTATTATGCTTTTAAAAATTTTTTATATGGTGGAATAGGATTAGCAGTAATAGGAGTAGCTTTACAAGTAGGTATATTAGGAATTTTATTTTATTATTCATATATGTATCAACAAGAACAGTCTCCATTATCTAGTAGTTTTTTATTGGCATCTATTTTATCATCTACTGACCCAGTTGCTGTATTATCTATTTTATCTGTTGTTGATGCCCCATCAAAAATTAGTTCAATGTTCCATGTAGAATCATTAATAAATGATGGTAGTTCTGTTTTATTATTTCAATTTTTTTTTTATTTAACAATAGGATATAAAGCGAATACTTCTCAATATGTTATTCTTTTTGTGAAATTATTATTTTTAAGTCCAGTTTTTGGTATAGGAATGGCAATGTTAACATTTTCATGGATAAACTTATACAGAAAACATTATTATAATCAGTGTTTGGCTACTATTACAATGTGTTATCTTTGTTATTTTATATCAGAATATTATTTTAACTTATCTGGACCTTTAGCAATTGTTTGTTATGGGTTATTTATTAATGCATATGGTCATATTGCACTAGATGAAATAGCTCAAAGAAAACATAAAGAAATTGTAGAATTATTATCACTTATGGGGAATTCTGGTATTTTTATTATATCAGGAATTGTTTCTTTTGGCATGATGGAAAGTGTATTTAAAGATAATTTATATTTTTTTTTATATATTGTATTAACTTATTTTTATTTATTATTTGCAAGATCTCTTATGATATTAATTTTTACTCCGTTTTTATCAAAAATTGGCTACCATGTAAACTGGAAGGAAATATTGCTTTTAATATGGGGAGGATTAAGAGGAGGAATAGTTTTAGTATTGGGGTTACGTATTGAGGCAGCTAATGAAATTAATGATAAATTGACAAAAGAATTAGCTTATTATATTAGTGGTAGTGTTTTGCTAATTTTAACGATACAAGGATTAACGTTTGAATGTTTATATAAGCTTCTAAATACATATCCACCAAACCCATTTCGAATAGTTTATTTAGAGAAAGTATTAAAAATGATTGATTATAATTTTTATATCAGAAAAAAACATTTAAAAAATTATTGGCTTTTTAAAGGCACAAATATATTACATTTTTCAAGTAAAATTGTACCTGAATTGCATTGGAGAAAAATGAATAAGTTTGGCGAATTCGATTTAAATTTACCAGATATTTATTCATGTTTACAAGATATAAGTACATGTGATATATCTGTATGGGAGAAAGTATATGATTCTCAAACTGTAATTGATAGTTTTGATGATGTCTCATCTCACAGTAAGAAAAGCGGAAAGCAAAATATAAATAAAAATTTTTCTACAGAAAAAAATTTTGATAAATCAGCAGGAAAATCAGATATTGATCATAAAAGATTGAAGGATAATATATATAATGATAATGCTAACGAAGACCATAACAATAACAAGAATGATATTATTGATGAAATTTGTTCATATGGTAAAAATAAACAAAAGAGTGATAACTTAAGTGATAAAGAAAATTATGATAATAGTGATGAGTATAGCTATGTAAAGAATAACAAAAAGAAGAGAAGTTTTAATAACAAAAATAGAGGAATGTATACTAAAAGAGGTTCTAATTTATGCAAACATGAAATGAGGATTAATATTATTCGGAACAATGATAACTATTATAGTAGTTTTGATGATGATGATCATAATTGTGCAAATTTAAATCATTCTATATCATCAAGAAATTTTGATAGATCAAGTAATAATTTAAATGAACTTTCAGACAATGAATCATCATGTAGTGAAAAGGATTGTGAGGAAAATAAAATAAATTTGAATGCATTTAATTATGATAAAATTTCATTAAAAAATTATGATCGTTTAATAAATAAAATGAATTATAGACAATTTAAAAGAAGTAAACGTGAAAAAGAACATATAACTGTTATCGATAACATTGTTAATAATAGTAATGAAAAAGAAACTTTTGATCCAAAATATAATTTAAGATTAATCGAACATGCTACCGATTTACCTAAAACATTAAGTGATAATTTACTTTTCAGAAGTAATGTAAGTAATGATAATTTAAGTAATAATGATAAGAAAAACAATGTTTTTGCAGTGAATGAGAAAAAAAAAAAAAAAAAAAAAAAATTATTAAATTTTTTAAGTGATCCAAACACTTGTGATGAGGAAGAAGTAAACGAAAAAGAAAATAAAGAAATAAATGAAGAATGTAATGCAGAAAAGAATGAAACTAATGATATTAATCACCAACTAATTACCAAAGCAGATGAATCATTATTAAATGATTATAAAGATTTGAAAAAAAACAATGAAGGAGAAAAATGTGCTGATTTATCAAATTTAGAAAAAAATAATAGAGAATTGTTAATGAGTGATAATTTTATTGTTAAAATAAAAAAAGAAAAATCAAATGAAGATGAAAAAGAAGATTGTAATAATTGTATAAATAATGAAAAATTAAATTATATAGATGATATTATAACGAACGAAGAAAAAAATGATGAAAATGAGGAAAAATTTAATGAATATTTAACCTATAAAAACTTATTTGCATTGAATAATAATGAAGAGAAAATATCTAGTTTCTTTAATAATAATTATGATAAAATGTACTGTTTTAAAAAAAATGGCAGAAATTCATCAGATGTAAACATTTCTACTAAAGGGACTAATAGTAAAAGTTTAGTTTTAATTAATAATGAAATTAAGAAAAGTAAAGACAAAAATAAATGTAAGTGTCATAGATGTAGAAAACCTTTTATTTTTCCTTTTTGCAATCTGACAAAAAAGAATTTAAATAATAAATTGAAAAAAAAATTAGAAGAAAGTGAAAATAAGAATGAAAACAAAAAAATATTATTACAAAATAGTTCCTCTAAAGGTGAAATGATAAATGAGGACTTGAAAAATTCAAATAAATTTGAAAATATTAAAAAAAAAAAAAAATTACAAAGAAATAATACAGCAGATATTATTACACAGAGATATGACACAGATCAAACAATCAATTTTGAATGTTTAGAAGATGTATGTCAAAAAAAGTATGTTACACCATTTTATAGTTTTTTAAAAAAGCCAAAATTGAAAATAAGAAATAAATTATTTAGTGAACTAAGAAGAGCAAGAAGCCATGAAAGTTATACATGTAAAGCTAATTTAGATAAAAATGGAGATGATGTATTTTATACTACACTTAAAAAAAAGATTGTTAGAAAAGAAAGAGAAGGAGAATTATATATAATGATATTTAACACATGTAGAGAATTGTATAAAAAGTTATATGTAAATGGATTTATATCAGGTGAATGCCTATTAACACTTACATCTATATTAGATTTATCTGCAGATTTTGCATTAAAAAAAGTTAGGATGAACCCAATTAAAGCATGGGCAGATGCATTTGATAAGAGAAAAGATAAAAATAATAATAAAAAAAATATTGATCATAGAAATGGTTTTGAATATGAATTTCATGTATTGTTATCAAAACTAAAAATTAATAAAAAAAATTTTTTTTTCTTTTCACCAAAAGTAGTAAATATCTTTATTGTTTATGAACATTGTATGAAAGATTTACAAATTGTTTTATCTTATGTTGATGTTCATCAATGTACATTGGATAAAGGTGGAATTACTATGAAATTACTGTTAGGAAAAAATTTATTAAAAAGTTACTACAGAAACATAGAATTAGCAAAACGTCTTATACCACATATTGCAAATAAATATAGAGATGTTGTTAAATACTGTCTAATAAAAATTGGAACAGATATGCTACTACATTTAAAAAAAACAGTAATTATTATAATAAAAAAAAAAATTGTTATTTTTATTTTTTTTAAACTATAATATTTATTTATATTTTTGTATAACACATTTTTATGTTTATTTTAACAAGATTTATTTTTTTTCTTTAAAATAATATTTTATATATTTATTGATTTTTTTTTTTTTTTAATATAGATTGTCAATGAGCAGGCAGCTAATGGATTATTATTATCACAAGATAATGAAAAATTAAATGGAATTTTTGATGAACAACAAGTGAAAATTAATAGATATAGACCATATTTGCATTACATTTTTAAAAAAAATATGCTTAAAATGATTTTTAAGTAAAAAAAAAAAAAAAAAAAAAAAAAAAAAGTATTAAAATATTTTAATAAAAAATATATAGTCAAGTATTTATAATTTTTTTCTTTATATTTTTGTTAATTTAATTATTCTTAATACCTTTTATTTTTAATGTTTTGTGTAAAAAAAAAAAAAAAAAATATATGCATTTTTATTCATTGAAAATAATACGAAATAGAATAAATATTAATGCTTATCTGTATATATATATATTTCTTTTTTTTTTTTTTTTTTTTTTTTTTTGTTTTTCTTGTTTCTATATATATATCCACTGAGTTTTTATTCAACATATATATATTTTTTTTTATATTTTATTATTTTGTTCTTATAAAAAGAAATATTTTTAAATGTTACAATTCTTAAAAATGATAATAATTGTACTCATGTAATAAATAAAAAAGAAAAAATATATTTTTTTGTAATTTTTAAAGTTTATAAAACTGTTTTTAAGCATTTTATTTTTCATTTCCTTTTATTTTACTGTTTTATTAAAAAGCTTTATATTTCCATTTCTTAAATGTTAATACATTGGATTATTGTATAATTCTTTTTAATAATATTTAAATATATTATTATTATAATCAACAATTTTTAACTTTATTTCTGCTTTAAAGTTAATTTTTAAGAAACTTTTGATAAACCATATAAACTGCTATATAATTTTTTATAAAACATATAAAAAAAAAAAAAAAAAAAAAAAGTAAGTAACTTTTATTCTTTATTAATATTATTTTTATTTTTTTTTTTTAAATTAAAATATAAAGTTGATAATAAAATATAATATTATTTCTGCGTTTTCATATTTATTATGTTAAAAAAAAAAGTATTTTATTCTTATACCACAGGCTTATAAAAAGTATATTTTTAATAAAAAAAAAAATAAATTTTGCATATTTTTTCATTTTTTTTTTTTTTTTTTATAAGTTTGATATTATCTCAACTTATGTACCTCAAAACTTTATTTTTCTTAAAATCTTTATATATTATATATTTAAAATATTTTGTTGCATTTTCATATATTCTTTTTAAATTTCATCAAATGAAAAATAATAAAGGAAAAAAACAAAAAAATATATGAATGTATGCAAATGAAAATACATAATTCATTTATAATATTTTTATACGAAGGCTTATCTTTATTTTTTTAATTAATTTTTTTTTCTTTTTTTTAATTTTTTCTTTTTTTTTTTTATATACTTTTTTTTTTTTTTTTTTTCATTTTTTACTTAATTACATTAACATTTATGTTAAATGTGTAACAAAACATATATTTATTAACTTTTTGAATATATGATTATAGTTCTAAATATATTTTTTAATATATTCTATTTTATGTCAGAAATATTTAGTGTATGTGTTTTTTTATTTTTTGTTTAACGATTGTGAAAATAATATTTTTTGAAAAAATTAAAGTCCATTAAATATTCCTAATCTTATTAAAATTTTTTTTTTTTTTTAAATTTTCATATATATAAATAATAAAGCCCTTTTATACTAATATGAAGATGAATAATTAAAATAAATGAAATTGATTTTATAATATTAAAACTGTAATTACTTGAATTATATTAGAAATTGTTTTTTCATTGAATAATAATAAAGATTAAAAGGAATTAATTAAGGTATGGAATTTTATTTTTTCAAAATAGAATATAAAAAAAAAAAAAAAAAAATTAAAGAAATAGAAGAATAAAAAGAATATTATTTAAATTAGATACATTTATATATGAATAGTAAATTTATATATTATAATAATTATATGTGATCCTAATAATCAAACAATTATTTGTTTATACAAAGATAAAAATTTAAAAATATAATAATACATGTAAATAAATGTATATATATTGGAAAGTGATAATCTTTTTTTTAGATGGCATAAAAAAAAAAAAAAAAAAAAAAAAAAAAAAAAAAAANAATTTTTTTTTTAAAGGGAAAAAAAAAAAAAAAAAAAAAAAAAAAAAGAATAGATGTATAATTAAATTAATTGAATATATAAAGGAGCAAATAGTATAAAATAAAATAAAACTACAATATATTATTTCATCTTTTTTAATATTTTTTTTCATATAATGTGGTGTCATATACGACATATTTTTAAAGTTTAAAAAAAAAAAAAAAAAAAAAAAAAAAAAAAAAAAAAAATTAAAATATAAAATTATAGATATAACTTATTTTTTTGAAATTATTCATTTTTTTAATTTTTTTTAGGCTTTTATAAAAGATATTCTATAATTATATATATATATATATATATAAATCGAAAAAAAAAAAAAAAAGTAGAAGAAGAGTTTTATTTATAGTTATTTTAAAAATATATTTTATATTTTTGATTCTTTTTTTTAAAAAAAAGTTTTAATTATAATGAAAATACACTTATCTTCCGATGAAATAAATTTACTTGTTTATCGATATCTAGTAGAAAATGGATTTATTCATACATCTTTTGGTTTTTTTAATGAAGCAAATATTTCAAAAAACCCATATTATATAAGTCATGGAGAGAAATTACCAACAAATGCATTAGTATCATTTTTACAAAAAGCTATGATTTATATATACATTGAATATCACACTGATAATAATGATGGAAAAAAAATAGTATGTGAAGAACCATTTTCTTTTTTTAGAAGGCATGAATGTTGGAATAATGAAAATAACTTTTCAGAAGATAAAATAGAAATGAGTAAAAATGAGAAAAATTCAACTAATAATTTGAATAGTGCTACAAGTAGCAATGTTTTTGATAATAAAAACAATTTAAACAATAGAACAAATAATTTTAGAAATAGTTTTACAAATTTTGCAAGTTTAAATTATAATGATAGCAATATTTCTTTTAAAGATATCAAAAGAAATTATGCCAATATTTTTGCTCAAGGAAAAAATTCTAAAAAAAGTTCAAACAAAAAAAAAAATAATACAGATTATATAAATTTAAATGAAAAAGATGAATCATATAATACTATTAAAAAAAGAAAAAAATCAAAAATTTTTAAAAACCAAAATAAAACAAATAAATTAATCATTGATAAAAGTAATAATATTTTAAATAACGATAAAAAAATAGATCAAAATCATATAATTGAAACAAAAAGTGAAAATAATGAAACTAATAATATATCTAATAAAATATATATCAATAAAAATATTCAAAATGATTTCAATATTTCAAATAAAGAAAGTGATAATAGTAACAAAAAAGATTCTATTATTATTGACAATATCCAAAATAACACAATTAAAAAAAAAAAAAAAAAAAAAAAAAAAAAAAAAGAATTCTACAATTTAAATGATAATAAAAAAATAATAAAAATTCCTGTAAAAAAGGAAGAGAAAAAAAACAATTCAAAAAACATCTTAAAACAAAAGAAACAAATTAAGGATCTACCTGATAAACAGAGAGAACGATATTCTTTAATTAATAAAGATAAATGTAATTTATATATTTATAATAATTCAGATAATAATAAAAGTCAAGAAAATGAACAAAACATTGAAAATAACATTAAAAATAATTTAGAAAAAAATGAAGATCTTAATCAAACAGATAATAATTTAATGAAAAATAGTTCCATTTCTTGTTGTTCTGTTGAAAATAATCTTGATATGAAAAAGGAAAAAAACAAATATACTTTTTATTCAGACTCCATTTACAACTTAGATAAAAAAGAAAAGAAGAAATTTAGTAAGTCATTAATAAAATCTTATAATTATAAAAATAAACTCTCTGATAGAATACTCACAAAGAATATATGTGGTGCTAATAATAAAAAAATTAATTACGTAAATAAAAATGATTTTAATTTCAGTTTTTCAAATTATATTTACAATAGAAAAAATTATATTTTTAATAAAAATAAAATATTCAAACTAAGTAAAGATCTAAAAAAAGGAAAAATTAAAAAAGAAAAGATAAAAGATTCAGTAAAACAAAAGAGTGAATTAAATGGAAATAATAATAAAGAAAAATATAAGAAAAATATTAGAAATAAAAATTTTAATAAAATTTTAGATAAAAAATATGAAAAATCATATCAGCTTAATAATAAAAATAAAGAATATAATGAAAAAAAATATAATGAGGAAAGTAAAATTGTACAAAAAAATTGTGATTTAAATCTAAAAAATAAGGAAAAAAACATAACATTAAACAAATTGAATTATAATCATTTATTAAATAAAGAAGAATATGAACAATCAAAACAAAATCAGGAATTAAAAATAGAAGAAAAAGAAAATGAAGAAGAAAATATGAAAGATGATATTCAAAAAAGAGAAAAAAAAGAAGATAATGATGATAAAAGTGAAAACATAGAAAATGAAGATGAAAAACAAGAACAAAGAGATATAGAAGAAAAAAAAAAAGATAAAACCGTGTATGAAGAAGAATACAAAAATGAGATTAATAAACTTCTTCTAAAAAAAATTATTTTAAAAACACTAAAAAATGGGAAAAAGAAATTTAAATTAAGTAATAGTATTAAAAAGAAAAAAAAATTAAAAAAAAAAAATAGGAATAATCAAGAGAAAAATGAAGATGACAATGATGATGGAGATGATGAAGAAGAGGAAGAAGAAGAAGAGGAGGAGGAAGAAGAAGAAGAAGATGAAGAAGAGGAAGAAGAAGAGGAAGAGGAGGAAGAGGAAGAAGAAGATGATGATGAAGAAGAAGAAGAAGATGATGATGAAGAAGAAGAAGATGATGATGAAGAGGAAGAAGAAAATGAAGATGGAGATCAAGAAGATAATAACGATGTAGATGAATATGGAGAAAATAATAATGAAGGAGATGATGAAAAAGAAGATAATTATGAAGAAAAGGAATTCGATTTTTCACAGAAAAAAAATGAAGAGGAACAAGAAGAAGATGAAAATAGTGATAACAAAATAAAACATGGAGAAAAGAAAAAAAAAGAAAAAAAAGAAAAAGAAGATGAAGAGAAATATGAAGACAAAGTGGATAATAATGATGAAAAAAAAAACAGTGATAATAATAAAGATGATGTTGATATAGAAGAAATGAATAATAATAAAAGTAAAAAAGATGACATAAATAATGAAGATAATTTATATAATGATAAAAATGAAAAAAATAATAATAATGGTCACATTAACAATGATAAAGATGATGAAAATATAAATAAAGATACAAAAAATAATGATAAAATTGAAAAATAAAAGAAAAATTATGAAAATAACAGTATAAATAAAGAAGGAAATAAAAATAATAATAGTAAGGAAATTGAATCAACAAAAAGATGAACAAATTTAAATGAAAAAAAAAAAAAAAAATCATGTAGAACCAAAGAATAAAATACAAGAATTGTAAATAAAAATAAAGTAAAAAATAATATTTATTTGTAACATATAATTTTATTTTTAAAAGAACCAATGATATATATATATAATGAAAATAATACATATTATATTGAATTAAAATACAAAAATAAAGTAATCATAAAAATTAATACTAAAGAATTTTATAAGTTATGTATTTTTGATAACAGAAAGAAAATAAATTACAAAGTATCATATTTTATAAATAATTATAACTTTTAACCAAAAGGATAAAAATAGTTATTCTTTCCATAATGATGATAATAAATGTTGTGTTAATAAATATGCAAAAAATCATAAATTGTATAATAACTATTTACTTATAAATGTAAAAATTTTATATTATTATATATACAATTTAAATATTTTATTTTTATAATTATTTGAAGTAATTTTTTAAGTGAAAATATTAATTTTTACAAAATAGAAAGTTATTTTGAAAAAATAAAAAAAAATAATCATCAGTTGTAATATATATATGAAATGTGATTTCTATCATATAAAATAAAAAGAAAATCTATGAATTTTAAAAAGTTACAACAAAGAAAATAGAGGTTATGAAGTCTTAAGTATATTTTGTGTGATTTATTCCTTTTTTTTTTTCATAAAAAGAGAAATTTAATAAAATTTTTTTTTTTTTTTTTATTCTAGTAATTCAGAAAAAAAATTAATTTTTTTTAAAATTTTTATACCTATTTTATTTTAAATATTGACAATTAATGTAATTTAGTGTTAAAATGTTAGGAAAAAATGATTTAAGTAAAAATTTATCCATTGTTAATTACATGTTTAATGTTTCTTTTGTGAATTACTAAAAGAGAGTCATAATAAAATACATTAAAAAGTGGACACTTAAACAGAAGGGAAAAAATAATTCTTTGATTAAAATAGAGTAATTTTTACAATTAGCAAATAGTTTAAAAAAAAGTAAAGATAGATATATTACACATATAATATTTTGTTAAGGGAAAATATTACCATATTAAAAATGAAGATTATAAAACGAGCTAATACATGTAATTATCATATATAAATATATTACTATATTTAAATTTATTATATTTTTGAATATTTCGATAAACATATAATGAAGTAAATAAATATATATATATATAAATGGAAAGTAAGAGAAGAAATATGTGTAGAAGGAATTCTTATAATTTAAATTATTATAAATGTAAAACTTCTTAATTTTTTGCTTTTATTCTTGTGTTGTTTACTTTTATTAAGAATAATGATGTATTAAAAAAAAAATTAAGCATTATTATATATAACATATTTTTAAAATATACATAACAAAAAATATAGAAGATAATATACTATTAAATATAAGTAAAGAGAATCTCTAATGACAAAATAAAAAAAAAAAATAAATAAAAAAATAAAATAAAATAAAATAAAATAATAATTTTAATTTTTTAAAAATTTCTTTTAATGGTTAATTTTAAAATTTTTATTTTTTATATAATTGTCATTTTCTAGATAAAAATAATTTGTCCTTTTTATATTTATCTTTTACAAATAAAGCATTTTAGTATAAGTGTAAACAGATTTTTTTTTTTTTTTTTTTTTTTTTTTTAACAAAAAAAAAACTGTGAATATTAAAAAAGGGAAAAAATATCATGTATTTATTTAATTTATAATTAGAGGACGTAATTTCTTAATATATTTTTATTTTAATATTAATTTAAGGAAAAATATTAAATGAAGTTAAAATATTATTAGAATTTTTTCTGCAGATTGAATATTCTTTTCCAACTTAACTATCCATCAATGAACAGATGTTTTTTTCAAATAAAAATAGAAGATACATATATTAAAGAACTTTTTATTATTGTGTAATCTGTGAAATTAAAAGAAGAATATTTTTATTTTTTATTAAAAATTGAACAATTACAATAATCATAAAGAAATATATATTTTTAAAATAATTTCAGTTAATTTTTTTCATTGCATTATTAGATTAAAAAAAGAAAAGACAAAATTAGTTTTTCAAAATTGAAGTAGTACAATAGAAAAAATTGAAGTTTCAATATGAAAATGATGAACTACATTTGTTTATTTACGAAATGAAATAAGAAATATAAATTCTAAAGTAATATTGAATCTTCTTATATGATAGTTATAAATATATATTTTTTTTATTTTTATCATTATTAGAATAAAAAAATTTACACCCAAAATATATTATATGAAAAAATTATGATTTTTAATATATTTAAAAAAATTTTTTTTTTTTTTTAAATTGTTAAATTTTAAGACGTTTCACATATTATTTGTCACTTTTTTATATAATAATTTTTTTTGATGTTTGAAATACTTTTATTTTCACAATTTTATCATCATGAAATTATGCATACATATACAATACATATATATATGCATTTTACTTTACATTTGTTTTTAAACTTTCCTATTTCTATTATTACGTTTGAATACAAAATTTAAAAAAAAACAAAAAAAAAAGAATAAATAATTTTTCTCATATTTATTGGATTTTGTAAGAAAAGATTTAAAAAATTTAAATGCTAATAAAATAAATGAGAAAAAAGCAACTATCAATATATTATTGTAAATTTTGAATAACATGAAACCTATTTTATTAATAAGATTATAGATTAAATATTTTTTATAAAATATTAAGATTTTATAATATACATTTTTTTAATTTATAGTTAAAAAAAAAATTACAATTATAAAAATAAAAATTTGTATGTTTTTCATTGAAAACTTCACTTTGACAAATTTAATGAAAAAAAAAAAAAAAGAAATTTATCTTGTCTATTATTAACAAAAATTAAAATATGTCTTTTAATTATTTTCATAACAAAAATAATATGAATTAATATTAAGATAATTTAGATTCAAAGAATACACATTTCATATATATATATATATATATATATATATATATATATATATATATATATATATATATATATATATATATATATATATATATATATATACATATATATATATATATTCACAAAATAAAGTTTCTAAATAGAAAAAATATATATATATTTTTTAAGATTAATAAAATAAAACTTTATTTTAAAAATGATTAATAAAAAATAAAATATATTTTTTCATAAAATTTCAAATAATTATTTAGATATTAAAAAATTAATTCAATTCAAAATAATTAAGGAGATTATTGTATTCTTGAATAAAATTTTTTCTTTTTTCTTCATATTCAGATGGAGTTAAAAAATTTTCCATTTTATTATTTTTATTTTTTAAAATAATTATCCATCCTTCTTGCGTATTCATAAATAAATTATGTGGATTTGAAACAATATTTTCATTTATGTCAAATTGGAATCCTTTTATTTTACTTTTAATTTTATATATATTATTATTATATGAAATTTGTAAAATAGTCATTTGCTCACTTATAAATATTGTTTTTCTTTTCCTTTTTCCTGAAGTATCAGCATTCATTAATCTTTGATCATAATCTATTTTTACATTTTCTTTAATTAATTTTTTTAAATTTTTGCAATTATACTTTTTTAAGTCATTCAATATATCAAAAAGAATTTTGCTATATTTACTTAGTGATAGGATTACTAAATCATTTAATTGATTAGATATATGAAAATCATAAGTTACATCAGCTATATACATATTTTTACTAAAGATATCATCGTAAAAAGAATAATAATTATGAAACAAATGCAGCTTATTATCTTTCAAAGTAGTTTTAGCATTATTCCATTTTATCAAAGTACTTAATTTTTCTATTATTTTTTCGTTTGATATTTTATTATCTGATGAAATTAACTTTTCTATTAAATAATTTTCTTTTTTTTCTTTTATAATTTTTTTATTAACTATCTTTGAATTATTAAAAAGTATTCCAAATGATTGGTCTTCTTTTATGTCATTATTTAAATCAATAAGTATTTCATCTCTAAAATTTATTTTACTTAAAGAAAACAATTTTGAATCTAATTCATTTTGTTTAATTAAAAAATAATATTTATTTAATTCTTTTGTATTAATATCTTCTAATACATTGTTTATAATATTTTTATATGTTTCTTCCAATTTATTATTAAATGTGCACATTTTTTATCTTTTCCTATTTATAATTATTTAATAAATGAGAAGAAAAAATTGTTATAATTTCTAATTTTATCACACATTTAAAAAAAAAAAAAAAAAAAAAACCTATATAAAAATAAAATAAATAAAAGTATATTATTTATATAAATATTATATTTATCTTATTTACATTTCTATTTTATATTTTTTGTTTCTAAAACTTGTACTTTAATAAAATATTATTTTTTATTCTATTTTTTCATTTTATATTTTAAAAAAATTTTTATTTATTTTTTCTATATTTCTTTTTTTAATTATCTTTTTTATAAATTTAATTAGTTTTTATTATAACATTATTACAATTTTTATTTTTATTGTACGTAATTTCCCTTTTAATTTTTAACAAGGCTCAATAAAGTTTTTATTAAAATTTTTCAACTCTCAGATTTTTTTTTATTAATTTTAAAAAAAAAAAAAAATTTTTTTTAGAAACATTTATTTTATAATTTCTTTTTTGTTTAAAAATTTTCCTTTTTTTCTTTTCTTATTTGGTAATATAAATTCTTTTTATTATTTTTTTTAAAATATATATATTCTTTTTTTTAGTATAAATATTTAAAAAATAAAAACATTAATTTTATAATGTATACCCATAATAAAATAACATAGGAAAGATAATAACAAAATTTAAGTTTAGAGCTTATGTAAAGAAATTGAAAATTTTATTACTAATTGAAAAAGAGAGAATAAAACAAAAAAAAAAAAAAATAAAAAAATAAATAAAATCATTTTGTTATGATAAAAATGTCTATAATATATGGTTTAGTAGCAAGAGGTAATAAAAATTAATGACATAAATATATGAACTTAGTATAATATTTTTATTACAACATATATATAAATATATTTTTTTTTTTTTAAGACAAAACTGTTTTAGCTGAATATACAGAATTTGGTGGTAATTTTTCAAATATTACGAGATTACTTCTTGAAATTATACCTCCTCATTCATCAAGAAAGTCATATATATATGACGAGTAATAGAAAAAAAAAAAAAAAAAAAAAATAATTTCAAATGGTTAGTATAAATAAATATATTTTTATAACATTTAATTCTATTTTTATTTCAGTTATGTTTTTCATCAGCTTATGAAAAATGGAGTAACATTTATGACTATGACGGATAAAGAATTAGGTTTTTTAACACCTTATGCTTTTCTAGAAGAAATATCGAAAATGTAAAATATTAATTTTATTTAAAAAAATTATCAATATATAATAATTATTTAAATATTTTAATATTCCATTTATATATTCTTTTAATTTTTTTTACATACTAATTTTAACAGTTTTTTTAAAAAGTTTAAAAATACATCGGACTTAATTACTTTATCATTAGATGAACAATTTAAACCTGTCTTAAAAGAAAACATGGTAATAGTAAAACGGAAACTAAAGGCATATATTTGATAAAAAAAAAAAAAAAAAAAAAAAAAAAAAATAAAAATTTCCTATATATAAGTTAATATGTTTAACTTTTTTTTTTTTTTTTTTTTTCTCAGAGAATATTTAATGAATATGAGTCTAATGATGTTCATAATATAAAAAACCAAATTAGCAATATACAAAATATAATAATTGAAAATATTGAAAAAATATTAGAAAGAAGAGAAAAAATTGATATACTAGTTAACAAAAGTGAAAAATTAAATCAGGAAAACATAAGTTTCAGGAGACAAGCTATGAACTTAAATTTTTATATGTGGTTAGAAAATAATAAATTATGTGTTTACCTAATTTCAAGCATAGTAATATTTATTTTTTTTATATGGTCATTTTACAATGTTTAATAAAAAAAAAATTAATAAGGCTTAAAAAATAACAGAAAATATTATACAAAAAATTTAGTTAAAAAATATATATTTATTAATATTGTTCTTTTTATATGTTTTGAATGAACTTTTTTAAAAAAAGTTTTTTTTTTTTTTTTTTTTAAATATTTTAAAGAATCAAAGCTATTTCGATTTATTTATTTTCAGTCTAAACTTTTGTAATAATCACTATTAAACTATTCTTATCTTTTTACAACATTTTACTTTATATATGTAGATATTTATGTGTTTATTTTATTTAATTATTTTATTATTTGTTTATTTACATATATTATCTTTATATTTTTTTCTCTTTTTCTCATTAAAGTTTCTTCAAATGTGCATTCAAGCTTTATATAACATTTTTTTTGTTTGTTTTTTTGCATTTTTTTTTTCAAAAAAAATTAGATTTTTATTAATGAAATAATTTAATAAACATATGCACTTTTTTTTTTTTTTTTTTTTCTTTTTTTTAATTAAATTTTATATATCTTAATTTTATAAAACAAAACCAAATTATCATATTTAACATTAATAAAAATTAAGTTGCTTATAATTACCTTTGACGCTACACATTTTGAATAAATATAAAGGAATAAAAAAAGAATTGTTATATGAATTAAAATTTTTTGTTTAATCTTTTTTATTTTCTTACGAACTTATAAAAAAAAAAAGAAATATCTAATGATTTCAAATTTTTATGGAATAAGTTTTTTACTAAGTTTGTAGATAAAAATTGTTTCATTTAATGTTTTTTTTTTTTTTAATTCAATATAATTAAATCTTTTTTTTATATCTACATTATTCATTATTTCATGTGGTATGTTATTTTTTTCTAATAGTAAATATATAACTCCTTTATTGCTAACATAATCATACACGTTTAATAAAAATTTCAAAATAATTTCTCTCCCTAACTTACCTCCTGAATAGGAAGCAACTATATCTGTTTTGTTCATTTCATCTTCTTCTGTTGGAACATAAGGTGGGTTGAATAAAACTAAATCAAATTGGTTACACTTTCTCATATTGTTAAATAAATTGTTATTTAATATTTCTACATTTGAAACCTTATTAATATTTGATAAATTCTTTATACAGTTACATGCTGCTTCATTTATATCTATACAGTAAAGAAGCTCAAGTTTTTTGTTTCTTTTTAGTAGCATTTCATACAAAGATAAAATCAAATACCCAGTTCCAGCTCTATAAAATTTTATTTACAAAATTTAAAAAGAAATTAATAATTTCAATGTATTTTTATTTTTTTATATTTTTCTTTTATTAAAATAAAAGAATAATTTATTTCTTCATGTGAATATTATATATATATATATATGTGTATAATTTTTTTTTTAATTAAAATATAAATTTTATAATTTATTTTTTTATATTATATATTTATATTTTTTAATTATATAATTTCATTTCAAAATTACCCCATTTCTAAAGCGATATTAACATCTGATGGGATATGTTTTACTTCATTTTCCAATGCCTCAATGAAAGTAAAAGTATCGCTACTTGGTAAATACACATTATTTTTAATTTCCTCATTATTATAGATAAAATCAAAATTAATTTTTTTAATTTTAGAAGAAGATGACATTTTTTTCTTAAAAATTTTTATCATAAAATTATAATAAAATCCATGTATTTAACTTTTAAAAAAAAAAAGAAATTTTTTTTTTTTTTTTTTTTTTTTTTTTTTAATATAAATTTTATTTTTCTCTTTTATTTTAAAAATAAAAAAAACTGTTATATTTCGCTTGGTCCTAGAATATTTTCAGGACCAGAATTTTTGAAATTATATGATGGTAATTTTTGTAAAAGAGTTTTATGAATTTCGTCTTCTAACATTCTTTCATATAACCATGAAAATCTATCAGATAAAATTTCCTGTTTATTTAATTTTTCATATCTTAATGTCCAATAAATATTCTATAATAAAAAATTTATAAAAGGTAAAAATGTAATGAAAAGATTTTCATTTTTTTTTTTTCTTTTTTATAAGTATACATTTACATATTTGATGAAAAATAAATTATATTTATAAATACAAAATTTTTAACTTAAAAAAAAAAAAAAAAAAAATTACTTTTAAAGCTGAAAACCAATAAGGAGCTGTTAAGAGACCAATGAAAAAAGGTCCAACGTTTGCTTTTGTCCAAAAATAATCTTCGTTAAAAAACTTACGAAAACTAAAACTACAAAAAAAAAAAAAAAATAAAATAAAAATAAATATAAAGAAATAATTACATTATGGAATATAATTCATTATAAAACATTAAAATGAAATCTATAAAGCTACATATAAGTATTCATTATATTAAAAATTATTTTCATATATGTAATATTAATATACACTTTTATATACTCATGCTTATTTATTAACACATTTATTTATGAATAAACTCATTTATATAAATAGTACTTTTTACACGAATAGCATCCGTTTATAAAATATTGAGAAATTTTTTTTATAAATGGCATTGTAAGAATTGTATGTATTTTAAATATATATAATAATATTGAAATACAATAGAAAGTTTTAAAAGTAAAACATAATAATACAAATTAAATATATTTTATGAATTTAAAATATTTTTGAAAAAAAAGGATACATATATTTTATATAAACTCAAATAAAAAAAAATATATATATTTTTTAAAAAATTATAACATGTAAACGTAAATAATTTAAATTTTATAATTCATTAAAAAAAAAAAAAAAAAAATTGTATATTAATTTTTGAAGAAATAACTCTACATTCAAACATGTATATATATTTTTTTTATTTTTTTTTCATAACTTTTTTTGTGAATAAATATGATTTAAAATAATATTTAGTGCAATTAATTTTTAAGTTTGCTTTAATATAAAAAAACTTTATTTTCATAGAATTAATTATAATATATTTACATATGCTTTTTTTTTTTTTTAAAAATAAATGATTCTAAATTTTTTTTTTTTTTTTGTTATTTGAAAATACACAAAATTTTTAAACTAAAAAACTATGAAAAAAAATTTTTATATATTTATAAAATAATACGAATGTATAATTGAAAAAGGAAAAAAAAAAAATAATCTTTATATAAAATTATTTTTAATAACAGAAGAATATAAAGAAATATTATACATAAATTCAAAATATAATTTACAAAAATATTGTGATTTTTCACGAAATAAAAAATAAAATTTAATAAAGATATAAATAGTTAGGTAAAAAAATATTTTTTAATTTGTTTTATTGATGTAAAATTTAAGGTTTTCATAAGATTTTTTTTTTTGTTAAACCAAAAGTTGAACAATTTTTTTAATTGTAATAATTGATCTTTGCTTATATAATTATCCTTTTTTAAATTAAGAAGTCTGTCAATTAGTAATGAAAAAAAATCATTATTTAAATTCAGAGCGTCTAATTCATTTAGACATATTGCACATATGATCAATTCTTCTGCATTAAATGTTTCTAGTTTTCTAATCATTTCACGAATAATGCATTTTGTCAACGGTCTATATATTTCATTGGCTTTCATAAAAGGTAAAATATGAGAATTAATTGGGTTTAAATACTCTAATTTTTCTCTTTCTCCAAAATTTAATCTCACTAATGCAATTAATAGTAGCATAATGGTTCTTCCTCCTAATGCTGGTGTTCTAAAAAATATTGAGTGCAAAAAATTTTTAAAAATTTTTGGCAACGGAATGTTCACATTTAAATGATTTTCTTCATTCTGACATTTTGTATTATTTCCGTTTATTTTTTGTTGATTATTATCAATGGATGTTTTTTCGATTATATCTGCTTTATTTTTTTTTTGTTTTATATTTTTAGCTAGTTCATGCATATTTTCACACTCTAATTTCTTTATTTCTTCTTTATCTAATAAATCTTGAGGTTCTTCAAGACTTCCTACATCTCCAAAAAAAAATTCATTTGAGATATCAAATTGTCTGACATAAAAAGATAATTCTGAATTACTTTTTTGTCTACTATTTTGATCAGATATAATGAGTTGCAAACTATTAGTATATTTTAATAATAATGAAGTATCATATCTATGTGTTTTCATGTTTAAAATTAGATCAATTGGTTTCCCATAAAACCTAAATAATCTAGTCATCAATTCAAACATAATAACTCTATAAGGAGGGGTACTGTTATAAATGCTTTCACTAATCTTTTCTATAATTAAATTTTCTAATTTTAAATAAATGTCATATAATTTTTCAACAGATATTAAGTTATCATTAATATCAAAATTAGAATATATTCCATTTAAATATTTTTTATTTGAACTTGATTTTGTATCTTCATCGAAAATGTTTATACTTTCTTTATTTTCTAAATAACTATCCTTACAGCCGTCTTTGTTATTATACTTACCTTCCTTTTTTACATTAAATTCATTTTTGTCTATGATAATATCATTTTTTTTTTTTTTTTCTTTATGGTTTGTTTGATGGTTTAAATTGGAAAAAAATGATTTCTCTTTATTTTCAATAATATACTTTTTTTCTTCATTCAAATAGTTATTTTCATTCATAAATAATTTTTCTTCTTTTTTTAAATTTTCTTCGATATGTGTTTGGTTTTCAATATATAAATTTTTATTCATAGAACTATTTGTATTTTGTAAAGTATTTAAATTATCGTCATTTTCAAAACATTTAAAATTTTTACTTGTTTCAATATTCAAAATATCACTATTAAATTGGTCTTGATTATTAGAAAGACTGTTCTTATTATTTTTACTAGATAATGTAAAACTTTTTCCTTTTGACATATTTGAATTCACACTATGATTGTTATAAAGTTTTATTAAAATATATGCTTGAATACAATTTAGTATAGAAGAAAAATCATTAAGTTCAAGATGGGAGATTTTATCTTTCATTTTTAATATTTGATTTACAAGTAGGGGTAATGGGAAGAAATAATTTAACCTCGAAAATCCATCAGCACACCACGATATATATTTTATATTAGTATAATTTATATTATCTCTTACGGGTTTATATAATTGATATAAAATATTTTTATCAGGTAATATTTTAAGATTTGCTAAACCCCTCAACATTAAACCTGAAAAATCTGATCTATACAACTCATTTTTACAAATATTTTTTCTTAAAGTGTTAAATAAAATATTTAATAAATCATTATTATTACATCCAATTCTACCAATAACATGTATAAGAAAAGGTAATCTTTTTATTTCTAGTTCGTTAATTCTATTTATTATAGTTTTATAAAACGGAATTATTTGACACTGTATTTGAAAATCATAAAATAGAGCTAAATCATCTAAAATAAGTTGAATATCTCTCATTGATATATGAGCATGTTTTTTTGAGATAATTTTTGCAATTGAGTATATCCATTCTCTATATACTAAGTCCTGATACTCTGTGAGTACTCTCAATAATCTATGAAGGGAAATACCATTTAAGTTAACTGAAGTATTATATTTAAGAAAAAAATGAAATAACAATGGTTCTATAGTTAAATAAATGTTTTTATAAGAATGTTTGCTTAAATAATATATTAAATCAATAATTTCATAGCTATTAAATGAATTGGCATCTTTTATTATATTTTTACATAATTTTTCTAATTTTTTTTTATCACTACTTTTTAACCACTGAACATTAACTATATATTTTTGTGCTTTTCTATTTAACTTAAATGTAGGTTTAGTAAATCCTACTCTTTTAGGAATTGGTGCATAACTAAAGTATTTTACATTTTTGTTTTTTTTAAATAAATTATAACTTTTTATATATTTTGAAGGAGAATAATTTTTATATAAATAATAATTCATTTAAATAAATAAATTTATTTGTTAATAATATTTTCCTTTATAATAGTTCTTATCTGTGTTTATTTATTCTAATTATTATCGCCTTTTAGATTTTTTTACCTTCTTATAAATTAAAATTTATCTTTAATTAATGCTATTACTAATAATTACTAAAAATTGTTTACAAATTATTAAAAAACTCAAAAAGGAAGAAAAAAGATACATTTATAAAGAAAAAATTTAATATTTCATTTTGTTTTTCTTTTATATAATTTTCATAAAACTTTCTACAGTTATTTTATATATATTAAAAAATGATGTGTTGTTATTAGAATAAAAATGCAAACAAAAATAAATGTAATCCTAGAAAATTATAATGTAAATGTTTATTTTGTAAATTTTAAAGAAATCTTTGTGACAATAAGATTTATAATGTTCATATAATATTTTTATTGTTTTTATTTTATTTTTTTTTTTTTTTTAAGCTTGATTTAATATAGCAAGAATACTTGAGTTTTTAGTATATATATCTCAAATAATTCATGTTAAAAATATAATTCAAATTTGAAAAAAATTAGTGTTTAAAAAAAATGTAATTTATATACTCTTTTAAAATAAAAATGACAATTTTTATTTTAGAATACAATATTCATATTATTTGTACATATTCCTTTCATTAGATAAAAAACAGGAGAATCTTTATAAAAAATAAATATATCTATAGAATTATAATATATTTTATTATGTTATCTTCTGATTTGAAAATCAATATATATATTTTTTTGAAAAATAAAAGAAGTTAATAAAAGTATAATAATATATTTCATATCTTTAATACTATTAATTAAATTAAATTGGATATATAAAATAGCATTTGATTTTTTTTTTTTTTTTTTATAGGACATTGAATATATAAAATAACTTATTTAAATTATAAAAGAAGAAAAAAAAAAAAATAGAAATTAATACTTCTACAATACATATTTTAATCATTAAATTCAATTATACTTATTTACTTTATTAATTAATATTTTTACTTTTTTACTAATTTTTTCTAATTAAAAATAAAAAATAATATAGTTTTATGAGATACCAAATATATATTTTTAAATAATATTCTTATTATATTATAATTTATTAAAATCCATTTAGAAAATAAAATTCAATGAAAATTGCTCATTAGATTTAACGACATATAGTTTTACGAAAAAAAAAAAAATTAAAAAAAAATGAAATTAAATAAAGAATTAAAATTAGAATTCTATATTAAAAAAACATTTATTACTATATATTAATTGATTTTAGATAAAATTATTTCACATCAATAACTACTATATATAAACTTTTAATAGAATCTTTAAGAAGTATTATATTTTTATGTTTTACTTATTAAATGAATAAAACTTATCCATATTATTCTATATTCTTCTTATTAACTTATTCTCATTTACACCAGTTTAATTCTTTAAATGAACCTATTCCTTTTACATTTCACTTTGTTTTTTAAAATTTTTTTTTCTATCATTTTAATTAATTTATTACTTTTTATGTGTCAAATTATTATATATGCAAATGTAAATTTATATATATTAATTTGAAATTTATAAAGAAGTAACATATAACGATTAAGTCTTGTTTGATGAATTATTTTATAAATTATTAAAATTAAACAAAAGTGATCTATTTATTTTTGTTTTATCTTTTTTATCATTTGAATCTTTTTTATATATATATATATAATTATATATATACTTTTTCTTTATGTATTATTTTTCTATTTACTTTTTGTTTACGCTTTTTTTTTTTTTTTTTTTTTTTTTTTATATATAAGAAAATAGAGCTTTAAGTGGTGTGGTATGTGTTTAACCTTAAAACTATATTTTACTTATAACAAAAAAATTTTAATAAAATAAAATAATCTTAAAAGTGATTATTATCATTATTATGAGAGTGTAAAAAACTAAGTATTACAATTATTTAAAAATTAAAATAAATTGTTTGAAGGAATATAATTTTTTTTTTTTTTTTTTTTTTTTTTTTTTTTAATAATGTATGTAGGAACGACGTAAATATCTTCTATTTCAATTTTGCATACGAAAACTGTAAAAAAATAAAAAGTTAACATTTAAAAATAAAAAATAAAATAGTTATTTATAAATATATGTATATAAATATACATGTAAATGTAGGTATATTTTTTTTTTTTTTTTTTTTTTACTTATATTTCTTAATTTTTGTTTTAATACATTTTAACTTGTGAAAAAAAAAGTAAAAGTAATATAATAGTTCTTTGATACCATAATTTTATCATCATAAAAAAAGTAAAAGAAAAAAACATATGGATATATATTTATATATATATATATTTATATATTTGTTATATAAGATAAAAATTTATGAATATATTTTAAAAGAAGAATAATGAATAATTATAAATTTATTTAAAAGAATTAAGAAAAAAATTAATAGCAAAAGTTTATAAAAAATTAAAAAAAAATAAAATACAAATATATATATTTAATGAAAAAAAAAAAAAAAAAAAAAAAATGAATAATATAGTAAATATATGGATTTATTTTAAATTATAATAAAAGTTTTGAAATTGAATATATAAGGAAATTATAAATAAAATATTAATATACATATATAACATATATAGATAGCATTTTGTATATAAAAAAATTATCTTTTTTTTTTTTTTTTTTTTACACTGTTCAGATAAAATAAAACGCTTTATAATTTTATAGGATACAACAAATTTTTTTAATTAAAATATAAAAAAATGGAGGCTATAGAAAAAAAAATTCTTAAAAGAAATCCAAGCGATTTAGAAAAAGAAATTGCTCAGTGTTTGATTGACATTGAATTGTCCAGTTCTTCTGATATAAAAAGCGATGCTAAAGAGATAAGATTATTATCATGTGATTTAATAGAAGTTGATAAACTAAAAAAAAAAACAATATTAATATATATTCCTTACAAAATATATGTTACATATGTAAGAAAAATACAAAGAAAATTAATTAATGAATTAGAAAAAAAAACCAAAAAATATGTAGTATTAGTTGCTAAAAGAACCATATTAAAAGCAAAACAAAAAACAAAAGCTTTTAAAATTATACCAAGATCAAGAACGTTAACTAGTGTTTATGATTCAGTTTTAGAAGATATTGTATCACCAAGTGAAATAATTGGAAAGAGGTAAAAATATATTTATATATATTAGATTAAAATTTATATGTAGAAATATTGTTATAATACTTATACCATAAATGTTTTATTTTATTTATTAAATATAATACATATATTAATCTTTTATTCTTTTTTTAGATATATTTTTTTTTTTTTTTGTTTTTTTTCTCATATAATTCATATATATATATATATATCTTGTAATTTTTTTTTTTTAGGATAAGTATGAGATCTGATGGAAAAAGAATATTCAAAATAATGTTGGATCCCAAAGAAAGGCAAAGAGATAACATAGAAGAAAAACTTATTAGTTTTGCAGCTGTATATAAAAAAATCACAAGAAGAGAAGCTATATTTTCTTTACCACCATCTAATGAGAAATAAAGGATATTAATATTATTTATTTTAATTAATTTTTAATTTTATGTTGAATCGGTTCGGATTTATAAAACTTTACTTTTATATACATTTTTTTTTATTTTGTATCAATAATCTCAAAGAATTTTTTTTTTTTTTTATTATTTTATTAAGAGAAAAAGTGGAGAAAAAAAAAAAAAAAAAGAAAAACTTAAAAACTAATTTAATTTATTTAATAAATATTTAATTATAAGGTTAAATGAATTATTTTCGTTTAATTTTAAAAAATTTGAAAAAAAACAAAATTGTTATTATACTTTTTTCTTTCAACATATTACAAAATTATATAATAAAATAAAAGAAAATTAAAATAATTAATTTATAAGAGACAAAGATTAATTTTAATAAGGTAAAACATTTAGGTATTATGAATAATAAGAAAAGAAAAATATATGAAAGCAAACTTTTTATAACATTTCATAATATACATAATATTATTATGAGTAAAATTATATTTATGAAAGAAAAAAAATATATAATCTTATTTACTAAAGATATGATTTTTTTATTTTTTAAAATATCATTATAAATTATCTAAATGTAAAAAACAAAACATATATATGGGATATTCATAATATATTTACATACAATTTTTTTTTTTTTTTTTTCCTGTTAATTTAATCCAAAGGAGGCCAAAAATTATCAATAAGATAATGATATTTATTACATTTTTTTTCAATTAAAGAAATAAATTCTTGTTTTAAAAAATTCTTTTGTATTTTCCACTTATTTATTAGTGTAGATCTAAAAAGAAAAAAAAAAAAAAATTATACATGTAAATTAGTATTGATATATATCATTTGAACAACATTATTTACTTTAATATTTATATATATTATTTATTAATAAAATATGAATTATTAAACAGATATATATATATATATATATATATTATGAATATTATTCATATGGAAACATAAATAAAGATACTTTACCTATTGATTATATTATTATTTTTTAAATTATCTATAAATTCTTTAATGTTTTGTTTCTCGCAATTAATAATATCATTAGATGAATGAGAGTAATAAATTTGAAATTTTAATATTTTTGGAAATATAGATCCATCTAATATAAATAAAGCAAAGTAGTTATAATATAAAAAATCATTTTCATTTAATTCTTTTTCTGTAATAGACAAATAATGAGAACAAGGCAAATATAAAGGCTTTATATAAACACTAATTTTATCTCTCTCTTTATTGTATTTAGCTGGAGGAAGTTTTTCGTATTCATTAATAAAAATACAAACATTTGTTATCTTTCCTAAATCTGAATCATTTATACTTAAACAGTCAAACATGGTATAAGTATTTTTATTCTTCATAATGTAATTATATAAAATATACTTTGGATAAGGTCTAATTGAAAAAAATAAAAAAAAATTATATATATATATATATATATATATATATATATTGTATAATTTTGTCTTAAAAATATTATTAAATATAATTGTAATATATAATATTACCTGTTTTTATATAGAACGGAATTTGAATTGATATATACCTGATTGTTAATATTTTGGGTAAAATATGCTTTTTTGTTATTAAAACTTAAATATGAATTTCTAGAATAATCGTTATGTATTAAATCATAACGGATTGCTAAGTGGTCAATGAACCCTTGAATAATCGCATAATGAATTATTTGTTTCGATAATGGTGAAATATTTTTTTCTAATATATCAAAATTAATACTCGTATTAAACTTCAAATTAATTATTTTCATTAAATAATGTGACAATTTAAGTAACTCACCCATTTTTTTTTTATCTAACTTCATTAAATCGCAAAAATTTTGTTTTTCTTTTGAAAAATAAAAATCTGTGCATATATTTAAATAAAAATCAATGTCGTTATCAAATTTTAATTTAAAATTCTCAAGTACATTATTATTTGAATGATCATCATAATCTTTAAGTGACGAACTGTCCTCTTCACAGGAACTTTCATTACATGAATCGGTTATATCAGTATTTTCCATTTTTTTGTCATTATCTTTCTTTAAAATTAAATTTACTAAATTATTATTGTTTTTTTTTTTTTTTTCTTTTTTTTTGTACTTCATATTAAGTTTATAATCATATGAAAAAATAGATTCCATATATAAACAAGAAACTAAAAGACATGCTAATGGAATTGACCTCTTGTGGTTTATTGCTAAAGATTTTAAACAAACTTCCGATAAAATCTTAGCATATCTTGTACTAATTGGTAAGAATAAGATAAGATTTCCTATGAGTGTTATTCCGCTTTTGTTACAAGGGTTAAATATTTCTACATGATTTTTAATATTTTTTTTTGAGCACATTTTATTATCTACATTTTTAAAAAGAAATTCAATATCTTTGTATCCAAAATATATGCAATTAAGATATATTAATCTTTTTTTAGCTTCTTCAAATTTGTATTTATCAGGTTTATTAATAAAAGGAAAATTTTCTACATTTTTTATATTAAAACTTAGCAAGTATAAAATTAAGGAATCAAGAGGATAATTTAAAATTGGGAAATCATTATTGTTTTTGAAAAAATAATTATAATAATTAGAGGAATATAATTTATACACATGCCCTTTTTCCATTTCTATTTTTTTTTTATTTTTTTTATTTTTTTTTAATAAATATAAAATTCTACCTGCTCTACCTTTCCTCTGAAGTGATGAACTTTTACTAATATTATCAATAACATAATATGAGTAATCATTTAATGTAGAGTATAATTTTTTTTTTTCTTTTCCACAATCAACAACATAACGAATATTTGGTAAGGTAATTGATGTTTCTGCTATATTTGTACTTAAAATACATATTCTCTCATCATCTTTAGGGTTATTAAATAAAACCATTTGCTCATTCATAGGTAGATTAGCATACAGTTTATAAATTTTTAGTACACCTGATCCATCACTACCTTTCCAAATACTTGAATTTTTTTTTACGTTTTCGTCTATTTTTTTTTTCCCTTTTTGGTGTTCACTTATATCTTCTTCACTTCCACTATCTTTATTTAACTCTTTATCACTTTCATTATATTTTTTCGTCTCTTCTTCACTTTCACTATCTTTATTTAACTCTTTATCACTTTCTCCATTTTCATTTTTCTCCTCCTTATTTTCTTTATCTTCAATTTTCTCTTCTTTTTTAATATTTTTTTTCTCTTCATTTTCACTATTTTGTAGTTCTTTTACTTCATTAAATGTTTCTTTAGTTTCAGTTAATTTGGATTTATGTAAATCATTTTCATTCTTTATTTTTCCTAAATTATTTTCCTCTTCTTTGTCAGAATGCTCAGTAATATAATCGTTTTTTTGATTAATTGTTTTTTTTTCTTTTATATCTTCATTTGTATAATTTTTTTTGCAGTTTTCTAATATGTCCGAACTAAAATTTAATAGATTTTTTTCTAAGATTTTTAAGTTATCGTTTTCATTTGATTGAATTAAATTTAATAAATTGTTATTGAAAACACTTTCATCATCAGAAACATCAAATATTACTTTTTTTTCTTTATCTTCATCTGTATTCCTAAAAAAAAAACTTGTTTTATCATTCATATTTTTTTCTTCTTCACTTAAATCAAATGAATACAAATTTTCATCTTCAATATTTTTTTTTTCTTCATTAAATTTTTGCGAATGAGCATTTTCAGATTTTTTGCATAAATTTAAATTCTTTAGTGAATTATATAAATGATATATTTCATCCTGACCAGTTAAGAAAACTAATATACTACCAGGAGGTAATTTTTTATGTATTTGGATTATCTTTTTTCTAGCTTCTTCAATATAATCTTTAGGTGTATAAGAAAGAAAATGATCAACAACTGGAACTTTTTGTGTAGGAATATTAATTGATGTATAATTTTCAAAAATTTGATTTTCGAAAAAAGTTTTATCATCAATGGTTGCAGACATTATAATAACTTTAATTGGGATAACATCTGATAAATTGTTAAAATAATTATTTTTTCTAATTTTGCAAATTATAGACAATAAACCCAAAATTAAATCCATGTTTATACTTCTTTCGTGTGCTTCATCTAAAATTATAGAACTATATTTAGATAAAATAAAATCATTCATTATTTCTTTTAATAAAATTCCTTCAGTCATAACTTTAATTTTACTATTTTTTAATAAATTGGATTTTTCATATCTAATTTGATATCCAACTACATTTTCATTTAACTCTTCATTTAATCTATGGGATAAACTTTTAACTGCAATTTTTCTTGGTTCCGTAATTCCTATCAAATAGTTACTTGAAGAAAATCCGTGTTCATATAAAAATTGAGGAATTTGAGTTGATTTACCGCAACCAGTATCTCCACTTATAAAAACAACATCATAATTTAAAATAGCTTCAATAATTTCTTGCTCATAACTTAAAACTGGTAAAGATAATCTTAATTTTTCTATTTCTTCTTTTCTATTTATATTCACCCTGTTATAAATTATTTTTCTTTTTTCATCGTTCATTTTTATTTCTTCTTTTTTACTTTTTTCACTGATTTCATTTCCTTTTATATTACTTACACTCTTATTTTCTTTAATAATTTGGTCGTCAAGTATATTTTCATTTTCATTATAATTTATAATGCTATCTTCATTACAATTTAGAATATTATCTTTATTATAACACTCACCATCTTTATTGTGATCATTATATGTTTTACTTACTTTCATTTTTTTTTTTTTTTCCTTAGTTAATTTTTCTCCTTCATCTTTTTTATTTTCTAAAAATCTTTTCTTTTTTTTCTCTAATTTGCATTTTAATATTTTCATATTATGTGATAATTCTATATTCCTTTCTTCATATGTTTTAAAGAGTTTCTCTAAATTTTCTTTATTTTGAGCTTTTATGTTAAAATGAACCATTAAATTACGTTCATTTGTACTTAATTTATAATGTTCTATTTTTTTAAACAATTTTTTTTTTTCTAGTTCTTTATCTTGTTTTAATTTATTTTTTAATTTTTTTATTAATTTCTTATTAGGTAAATTTTCTATAGAACATATATTTTTAGAACCTTTTTTTGTTTCCGTCCTTCTATCGCTTTTTACTTCATTTTCATTTTCGTTAGAAGATTTAATATTATCACGTAATTCTTCTGTCTGCTTTTTAATTTTATTTTTTTCATTAACAAACTTATTTTCATCATTTTTTAATATGACTTTTGTTTCGTCTTCCTCATTTAATAATACGTTATTAATTAAATTTCTATTTATATCCTTTAAAGATCCTAGATTGTTTTTCTTAAGTAATTTTTTTACTTTTTTTAGTTGTTTTTCTTTTTTTTTCCTAATTCTCTCTTCGTATTGTAATTTTTTTTTTTCTTTATTCGTTAACCTTTTTTCTTCGGAAAACTGGGTGAAAGTATTATCTTTGATATCTTCATTTTCTAATTGATTTAATTTTTTATTTCTTTTCATTTTCTCATTTTAAATAAAAAAATAAAAAGAAATTTTATTTGAAAAAATTATAATTATAAAAAATTTTTACATATGTAAATAAAATATATTTATTAGCTAATTTGATAAATATGAATGTTAAAATGTTCATAAATATATATGTAGGTTAATTAACGAATAAAAACAATATTTCGAACTACAAAAAAAAAAAAAAAAATTACAGCACTATAATTTATTATATCTAAATTTTTTTTTTTTATTTTTAATTAATTATAATTTAATTATTATAATTTTTTTTTTTTTTTTTTTTTTTTCATGTATAAATAAGTATTTGTTTTGTGAAAAGGTTTCAAAGAAAAAATAATGCATCAAAATTTTTTTTTGTTTTAAAATTAAAAATGTTATTTATAAACTTACATATTTAAGATAATTGAACAAATGAAAAATATAAGTAATTTTATACAGTTTTTATGAAAGTATATATAATTTCTCGTTTATAGTTTTATGAGGAAGTAAATACCTGGAATGCTTTTAACAACTTTTATATGATAGTTTTACTTTTTTTTTTATAAACTTAGTTTGCAGATTTTTTTTCGTTCTCTTATATAAGGAATATCTTTTTTATTTGTATTTATTAAACGTCATTTAAAAGTATCTTTGTATCATAAATTATGTTTTAACTATTTTTTAATTGAGAATAAACTAGGAAATGATATGTGAATACCTTTAGTACTAAATTTATATTTATAATAATTTTACATATATATATATATATCTACTTGAAATATAATACTTCATTTATATATGCTTGTTAAATGAAAAAAAAAAAAAAAAAAATGTCAAATAATAATAGTATAAAGCGCTTAATAAAATATGAGGAAAGTAACAATAAAGATTTTATTGAAAAATATTTAGTAAAAACAAAAAATGAATTTATAGAAAAACAAATGAGAGCTTTATATGAATGCCGAGAAGTACATAAAGGAAATATAGATGAAATAATAAATATACTTTCTTTCGCTTTAGAAAATAATGATAGTGTATTATTAAGGCATGAAATAGCTTATGTTTTAGGTCAAATAAGTAATGAAAAATGTAATAATATTTTAATTAAATTATTAAACGATAAAAATGAAAATGTAATGGTTAGACATGAAGCTGCTGAAGGGTTGGCTGCAATAGGGAGTGAATCTAATATTCTTATAATAAAAAAATTTTTAAATGATGAAAGCATAGAAGTAAGAGAAACGTGTGAATTAGCGTTAAGTTCATTACTAGAAAAAAATAAAAATCCTTTTTGTTCATGTATTAACAAAGAAAACATAAAAGAATTATTAAGAAAAAAACAAAGTGATGAATTTGTTTCAAAAAAATTTAAAACTATAGATCCAGTTGTATTCATATCAAAAAACAAAAGCGTTGATAAATTAATTGAAGATTTAAATAATGAAGATAACCCTTTAAAATTAAGATATGAAGCTTTATTTCAATTAAGAGATATGGAATCTGATATTTCACTGAATGCATTAGGTGAAGCTCTAATAAAAGATAATAAGTCGGCAATATTTAGACACGAAGTAGCATTTGTATTAGGTCAAGCTTTACATTTAAATTCTTTAAAATACCTAATTTCATCTTTAACAAACATCAATGAGCATGAAATGGTAAGACATGAAGTTGCTTTAGCTTTAGGGTCTCTCGGGAGCTTAAATTTAAATTCAGAGGAATATAAAAACATTCAAAACACAATTATTAATACTTTAAAAATGTATTCAAAAGACAAATGCAAAGTTGTAGCTGAAAGCTGCTTAGTTGGATTAGATTATATAGCTGAAAATTTAAATATAGCAATAGAAATAAATTAATTTATTTTTTCTCTTTTTTTTTAAAGCATAATTTTTCATATATTTAAGTTTTATTATTTCTTGAACTTTTATAAAAAATAAAAATTATTAGTATAAAATTATATAAAAGAAAAAAAAAATTTAATAATTATACATCCTAAAGATAACATAAATTTATCCTTGGGATATTTTTTTTTAACGTTGATTCATATAATTGTTAAATAATTATCTCTTATATATACTAAAAAATTAAAATATATTTAATAAAAATTTCAAGCTTTCAACAATGACTATCATTTTTTATTAAGGAAAAAGACATGTAACTATTACTAAAAATATATAAAATGTTTGAATTTTTTTTTTTTTTTTTTTGAGTTCCTTTTAATAGTAATGCAATAAATAATATGTATATATATATATAAATAGAAACAATGATTTAAAAAAAAAAAAATGAAATAATTTTAAAATAAGCAATATTACTTCCTTTTTTTAAAATAAATACCATTCTAACATATTTCTTAAAAATCTTTCTTTTTTATATCCTTGGAGCTATACATAATGAAAGCTCTACATATAAAAAAAAAAAAAAAAAAAAAAAAAAAAAAGAATTTGTTTTTAATGATTAAAAAAATTAAATATAAAAAAATTAAAATAATTTTTTATTTTTAAGACTTATAATTAAATATTCTTAAGTTATTTTTTTTTTATCTTTTATATTCTTTTTTATTTTTTTTTTTTTAGATTTTTCAATTTTCAAAATTATATATTGTGATGTAATTAATTAAACAAATACTACCATTATTCATTTTAATTTGACATTTTTGTCGATTTAAAATGATTTTAACCGAAGAAATTCACAAAAAATATGAAGAAATTATATATTGATTATGTATAAATTATTAATAAACATAATAAGATATAAACGAGAATTATTAATGAATAAAAACTTTATAAAAAATAAGCTAATTAAAAGATACATTATATGTTTAGTAAGCATCTAAGTTGTGTAAAAATATATAAAAAATATATGTTTAATTATTTACAGTAAATAATCATTTGAAAATTTTAACACATTATGTTAAAATTGGGAAGAGTTAAACAAAAACTTTTTGGTTTCCCATGTTTTATACATTTTATGTTAAAATTAGGATCATATCTAAATAAAATACTATAGATAATAGGTGTTGTTTCAAAAATCATTTGTTACATATACTTTTTGCATATCTAATTTTGAAATTTGTAATCGCATTAAAATATTATGATATATATTTTTTTATTAAATAGAGGAAAAAAGAAAAATATTAAAATAAATTGTTAATATTTTTGAGGGGTAACATTAAATTATATAAAAAAATTCACAAAGAAATAACATGTTTTTACATATTAAAAAAAGAAATTGAAAAAGATATAGGTGTGATGAATATATTGTTATTTTATAAAAGAAGATAATGAATTGCAAGTACTTTATTAAACCATTTTTATTAATTCCTTTTACAAAATTTTTTATTCTTTCTTGAAGCTTATTACTTCTTCACATTTATTATATTAAAAAAAAAAAAAAAAAAAGAAAAAGAAAAAAAAAAAATTATTATAAATTATTTTACAATACATTATTAGAAATAACATAAATTGTTTCAAAAGTAAGAACAATGAATGAAAATAGTATTTTATAGAAGAGGTAAAAATAAATTTTATGTAGTTCATTATTCAATTAAAAACATATAAAGACGTTAGTCTTAAAGCATGTAAATATAATAGTTTTTTCACTTTATTTTAGCAAGTTTGTTTTTTTTGGAAATTGTTTCTTTTTATAATATATATATATATATATATATATATATATATATATATAATTTTTACAACCTTTTTTTTTTTTTTTTTTTTTTTTTTAAAAAAAAAAAAAAAAAAAAAAAAANCTTTATTTTAGCAAGTTTGTTTTTTTTGGAAATTGTTTCTTTTTATAATATATATATATATATATATATATATATATAATTTTTACAACCTTTTTTTTTTTTTTTTTTTTTTTTTTAAATAAATAAAAAATAGATTGAACATATTTTATTTAGATGGAAAATATTTTAAATAACAAAGTCAGAACTATTAAGGATGATAGTTTATTTGAAAATTTAAAAGAATCAATTAAAAAAAATAATATTCACATACTTTATGACACATATTTAGTGTCATTTTTAGAAAAATTAAAGAGTATAGATGAAGTTGATCATGTTATTTGTAAGTATAACAATTCCGAACTTGTAAATTTTTTTTATATAACTCTACTTGTTGATAAATACGAATTTATATCCGAGATTTGTGAAAATAAAATTGAAAAAAATAAAATTGAAAAAATATTAGAAAATCTCGAAATATGTAAAATAAGTCATACAGACAATTTGAAAAAATTAAGCAATATAATTATAGAAAGTGTAGATAATTGCCAAAAATGTTTAATGATTTATTATCTTTCACAAAAGAAATTTCTGGAAGTTTTTTCTTTTCTTATAAAAAGAGATAAAACTATAAATTTTATTAAAAAAGAAATTTTTAAGTATAACTTCTATAGAATTGTAAATAAATTTATTTCTCCGATTAATAATGATAATATAAATTTAGTTATACTAGAACTTTTACTAAATGGAACAAGAATATTCCAAACATATTTTAATTTTTTGTTAGATAAAAATAAAATAAATAAAATTAATCTTAAGAATTTTACAAAAGAGTTTTTAAATTTAGACAATGATAATATATATGATATCTTAAAAAAATATGCTGACTATGAATCTTTGATATTTTTTTGTAATCTTTTATTTAATGAATTTAAGGAAATAAAAATTTTATTGATAAATATGAAAGATAAAAATGAACATGAAAAATATGTAAATGAAAATTTAGATGAAATGATAATTGAAAAGAAAACAAACTTAGAAAATCATGGTAATGAATCATTAAAAAATAAGTCTGTAAACAACAGTAATTTAAAAGAAGATATATTACATTATATTTATGCACACGTTTTTCTTCTTTTAAAGCATAAATATGTTGAAACTACTGTAAAAAATGTTCTAAAAGAAAAAATCGTACTTTACTCTTTAATGTTCAACTCGCTAAGATATTCAGAAAATTTTATTCAATTAATAATATTTAAAATTATCAATTATTATTTTATAAATGATGACAATTTTTTAAATGAGTCAAATAAAAAATTAATATCATCACTATTTTCATATTGGATTAAATTATTAGATGCATGTGTTATTAAAATGCTTGATAGATACTTATCTACAGGAAAAAATAATTCTAATAGAAATGAACCTGAACTTTCTTTTTTAAAAAACAGTTTTGTTGATTATGATATATTTAAATATATGCAAAGTTTAATTAGTGGAATTTATTTATTATCATTAATTAAAAAAAAAAAAAAAAAAGATGAAAGTTTTTCATTAAAGGAAAAATACAATATAGATTCCTTTTTAAATGAATATAATATAGAAAATTTGTCTTTAAATTTTTTGATTAACGATAACTTTATATATTTTATAGGTTTTATATTTTCAGAGAATAAAGAAATAGTTAATAATTTATTTAATCTAATTTTTAAGCTTATATATTTTGTGAAAAACTTTAAATTTTACATTATTGAAAATTTAAACCTAAAAAATAAAAATTTTGAAGACACATTGATATTTTGTTGTATAAATATTATTTATAACATTCTTGATGGAACGAGAAAGTTATTTATAAATTCTTTTGAAATTGATGAATACACAAACACTTTATATCAAAAAGATTTAAAAAAAAAAAGAACTTTTGACAATATTGCTTTATATTCATTTTATTCGTTTATTAATCACAGAGATTATTATATTCGCTTATATGTAACAAAGGTAATTAATCTAAATAATTATATATATATATATATATATATATATATATATATATATATATATATATGTTTATATATTTTTTTTTTTTTTTTAATTTTAGGTTATAATAATACTTTTTTCTGATGTAAGTATTAGAGATTCAGTAGAGAAAAACCTTTTTTTTGAAATATTTGATTCTCTAATGAATATAGAATTTGATCATGATAAAATCAAAAAAAATGAAGAAAGAAAAAATGTAAATAATTTATTATTACTTCTATTTAAAACAAATATAAAAGATGATAGATCTTCAAATAAATTAACAAATATAATTTTTAGTGAAAAGCAGAAAGTGTTTATTAAATACTTAGCACATATATGTAATGACGACTTTTGCATATTAGAACTGAAAAATATGTTTGAATATTTTTTTATTTTATTTGTAAAAATAGTTAATATTATTATTAAAAGAGCTCAATTGAAGTTATCTATAGAAAAGTATAAAATTTTATTTATGAATATTTACGACATAATAGAATTTTTTTTGTGTGAATTAAAAAAAGAAAAAAATAAAAAATTAAGATTATTTTTTTTTTCATCAGCTATATATTTATGTCATCTAATTTCAAATGAAATATATAAAGAAAAAATACATTCATCAATCCCTTTTCTTGTTGTTGTTATGGATTTAATTAAAATTATTGAAAGTGATTTATCATTTATGTATGACGATTTTAATAAATTTAATAATGTCATTGAAGAAACAACTAAAGAAGAATTGTATTATAGTAGTGAAAATGATACAAAGAGCACAAAAGATTTACACATTTTGTATTTTTACGATAATGTGTACGATGAGAACATACAAAATAATGAAAATAACGAACATTTTAATTATATGAATAACATTAATAATAATAGTGACGAAAATATCCAAATATTTTCTTTTGATAAAATGAATAGATGTAAAAAGTATATGAAAAAATCAATAATCCAAAATAAAGAAAATGAAAAAAATATTTATAATTACATTAATGCTTTTTTTTTTTTATGTGTTAGTAACCCTAGTCAGACAACAAAAAAAAATATTATTAAATTTTTTGATATTATTATTAAATATATTATTAGGGATGAATATAAAATAAATAGAGTAAAAAAGAAAAGTCTTATTTTTTCTTTGCCTATTGTTATTATAATGGATCAAAATAATGAACAAAAAAGATACAATTTAATTATTGACAAATATGATTATATATTAAAAACTTATATAGTTGATCTTTTTAAATCAAAAAAGTTTTTACCTTGTTTCTTTATATCAGTTTTTTGTTTTACTAATACCGTAATTTTATTTTTAAAAAGAAAAAACTTTATAGAAATTAATTTGAATAAAAAAACAGATATATTAGACTCTTTTATGTTGATAAATTCAAAAACATGGTTTTACTTAAATGTTGTAATAGAATGTTTGAGCAAGTATCTAAATAAAAATTGCTTTGATGATTTTTTATTGCATATTATTAATTTAATAATAGACAATATATGGAAAATAATTATTTACATTTTTTATAGTGTAGAATTAAATACATTTTCATTGAAAATAAAAATGAATAATACTACAATTTTTTTAAGGGATTCAATTTTGTTATTTTTAAATTTCTATTCAACATGGATCTCTTTTACGAAAAATTTTTCTTCTAAAAAATATACTCCTTTATTTATCCATATTTTACCAGAGTTATTTTATAAAAAATTTTCTTTTTTATCCTCACAAATATTAAATTTTTTTAATTTTATTGAATGCAATTTTTCTTATATTAGTCTTAATGAAACTAACATAACATTACTAATAAAACAAAAAGAAATTATGAATAATATTTTAGATTCTTTAATCCATTTAATAAAAACAAGAGATTCTAAAGGATATGAAAATGAATTAAATAATTTAATTCAATTTAAGCTGAAATTAAAGAAATTGGTAATTCCGAAAAATATTCATGATCTTTCTTTGCCATTGGAATATGATTGCATTTTTAACAAAATAAAAGAAATTAAAATGAATAATGAAAAAAGAAATGATATAAGAAAAGATGAACATAAGGGAAACAAATATAAAAATGATAATCAAATTTTTATAGAAAAGGAAGAGAATATAAGACATGTAAATAATACTGGAACATGCAAGGAAAAAGGAGAATTAGGAAATGAAAATAATAAAATGAAAAAATGTAAATCAAGTAAATTACCTAAATATAAAAAAATAAAAGAGAATTTTACATTATATTACAAGATTATAAAGTTATTTAAATTTATATAATAAAGTAGTTTCTTTTTTTTTAGTTTTAACTTATAAATAAAAATAAAAAAAGCATTGATAATAATAACAATAGGAAAAATTCATATAAAAAATAATATGTATATAATATATTATACCTTATTTATTTAAAAATGCATTATTTTATTTTATATTTTTAAGAAATATATATAAATTATTTTTTTCTTTTTTTTTCAGATCTCAATGTTCCTGATTTGAAGAAAAAAAATGATTATAGCTCGAAATCATTATCACAAAATAGAAATGGAAATAATCAGATTGTAATTGTAAGTGACAATATGAAAAAATTTGTAAAATCTATACCTCGGTCTATATCTAATTCTAGATCTCCTTCAAGATATTTATCTCCTAGGGAGAAGTATAAAGAAAATACTGAAGAAAAAAGGAACATACAGTATTGCCATATAAATCAGGAATTCAAAAAAGAAATAGCATTACAAAAGGCTAAGAAAATTATAGAAAAAAATGCTGCATTGAAATGTCAGAAAAGAGCAATAATATTAAATGAAAAAAAATTAGAGAAAAATAAACATCAGTATTTTAAAGAAATGAAGGAAAAAAGGATTGAAGTAGAGAATAGTATTAATAAATACTTTATAATGTTGCAAGAATTTTTAGAATGGGACTTTTTTGATTTAGAAAACATTCAGAAATATAAAAATTGTATTAATAAGGAAATTCCTATACGATTTAAAAATGAAGAAGAATATCATAAGTAAATATTTAAAAAAACAAAATAAAAATGATTTATATAATAAATTAATATATGTGAATTAATTAATAATAAAATGTATAGTTCTATTTAATATTCCATTATTAATATATTTTTTTTTTTTTTTTATTATTTCATTTTTTAATGAATTTTAAATTAACTAATAATTTTATCATTACAAAAATTTCCTTTTTATTCATTTTAATATATCGTTCATTAATAAATGAGAAGTATATTTTTTTATACTTTATTTATATTTTTTCATTTATTATATTTTAAAAATTTCTTTTTAGATATTTTAGACCAATGGCTCTTGAAGAGTGCCGCTGTTGTATTTTAAATAAAATGTGTGGAGAGACTTATAAATTTGTTATTAATATTGTAGGGAAACAAAAAACATCTTACTGGATTATATGGCATATTACATCTTCTTCTGAAAATAAAACCAACTTAGATATTTTAAAACCAATGGACTTAATAGCACTTATTCCTTTTGAGACAGAAAACATAAATGGAGACAAAGGAACTATAAAATATGAAGATTTAAAACGAATTTTAAAATTAAATAAACATCTCCTTGGGTTAATAGATGTTTCATCTAATAAATTAGAAAATATTTATGACATCAAATTAATTAATGAGGATGTATTTCCATCTAAACGAAAAAATGAAGAAAATAGATTAAAATTAAATTTCCTTTCATGCAATAAATTTCATGTTTATCTTTTATGTAATTTAATGACATATATTAGAGAATTTCAAAGTGTTTACATGACTAAATGCTCCCCTTTGTTTAATTTGATTTTAAATCCTAATGCAACTAATGTTAGGGAAAATAAATCATATCGTAATATTAATTTAAATGACAATAATATAATTGAAAATAACAATAAAATAAAAGAAAATAAAGAAAATTTGTCAAATTATGAAAATTTAATATTAAAAACAATGAGAAACTATAATTTATTAAATGAGTCACAGATTGAAGCTGTCAAATTAGTTTTTTTAAATAAAAATAATATATCTCTTATACAAGGACCTCCAGGTACAGGGAAAACGAAAACAGTTATTGGAATCGTATCAGCCTTATATGCCTTAATTAAACATTTATACAAAAATGAAAAAAAAAATGATTTTTCTTTTAATGAACAAAATGTAAACCCTAAAAAAATTTTGGTTTGTTCACCATCCAATTCTGCTATAGATGAAATTGCTAAAAGAATTTTGAATGAAGGGTTAATAAATTTTATTGACTTAAAGAAAGAAACAAAAAATAAAAATAGCTATGAAAATGAAAATAACTTTCATGATAACACAAATTCAAAATACTTAAATGAAAAAGGTAAAAATGTAGAAAATGAATTTAATAGCTTTAAGAAACAAACTATTACTCCTAAATGCATACGTATAGGTATATCAAAAAAAACCCATGAAGAAATACAGCATATTTCATTAGATTACATATTTAATAAAAGAAAAAAGTTGGAACAAAACATATATGACTCTCATTTTAACAATAAAAAAAAAAAATTATCTTATTCTATCAAAGCAATAGATTATGCATGTCAAAAAATTAATGAAATAAGGATGAATTTGAATATTAATAATTCTAAAAAATTTTGTTCTGATATCAATGAAACCGACGAAAAAGCAATAAATAAGAAAATTGAAAATATAGAAAAATTTTTTTCCGAAGAATTAATAAATAATGTAGATAAGGCATACTTAGAAAATTTATTATATTTATTTAATGAATCATTTTCACATTATGAGTGGAGTATAGAAAAATTAAATTCAGAAAAAAAAAATTTTGAAGAAAAAAAAAAAAAATTGTTAGAAACAGATAATGAGATAGGTTCATTTTATTCCAATTCTAATAAGGATTTTATGATTTCAGAAAGCGAAGTGATATTCAGCACTTTGTCAGGAAGTGCTTCACCATTAATTGAAAATTTAGAATTTGAATATTTAATTATAGATGAAGCATGTCAATGTGTTGAGTTAAGTTGTTTAATACCATTTAGATTAAAAATTAAGAGTATTATTATGGTAGGCGATCCCAAGCAGTTACCTTCTACAACATTTTCATCTGATTGTAGAAGATATGGATATAGTAGATCATTGTTTGAAAGATTATTATCATGTAATGTTCCTAGTGTTTTACTTAATATTCAATATCGTATGAGACCTGAAATATGCTATTTTCCAAATAAGTACTTTTATAATGGATCAATTAAAAATGATGAAAATTTAATAAATAAGCCATTTTTTTATTTTCATTATTTAAATTTATTTGGATGTTATAAATTTATTAATATTGATGGAATAGAATCTATAACTTATAATAAATCATATATTAACTATGTTGAAGCTTATTTTATATTCAAATTAATATTATATTTCCAAAACTTTATTGAAAATAAAAATAAAAAGAATGATGTATCTAATTTATATATATTACCAACTAATTTTAATTTAAAGGATATAGGGATTATCTGTCCATATCAATCTCAAGTTCACCTTATTAAAAAAATGTTTGAAGGAGTATTTCGGGATAGTTACTCTCCAGAAATATCAACAGTTGATGCATTTCAAGGGAGAGAAAAAAATATAATAATTTTTTCATGTGTAAGATCTAATCTACAATCTATGGAAATCTTTAAAAATATTGATGAATTAAATGTAAGTAAAAAAAATACATCTGATATTTTAAATTACGAATTAAATGATAAAAAAGTGTTGTCTTTAAAAAATAATAATTATATCAATAATAATGATTTTAATACTGTAGAAAAATTTAGGAATAATATTGGATTCTTAAAGGATGAAAGAAGATTAAATGTAGCTTTAACAAGAGCGAAAGATGCTTTATGGATAATAGGAAATAAAAAAAATTTAGAAAAAAATGAAACATGGAACTCTTTAATAAAAAATGCAATTACAAGAAATTGTTATTCTGATTTAAAATTAAATTTTCATAAAAGCACAACTGAAGAAAAAATAAAAGAACGAATTAATGATTTTTTTATGCATATGGATAGTGACTTAAATAACACAAATAATAAACATGAGAATTATAGAATTTATGAAAATTATTCTACCAATTCTTTATCTAGTAAAAATGAATCAAAAACAGATAGTAAAAAATTATATAATAAAAAAAAAAAATTAACAAAAAAGACTATTAATGAGTACAGAAATAAGTATAAGAAAAATGAAGATCCCGTTATTCAATATAAAAGAGAGAATAACTTTAATAAAGATAATATTAGTAAAAATTGTATAAATTATAATAATAAGAAAAATGAAATAAGAGAAAATAAAAACATTCAAAAAAAAAATAAAAGAAGTGAATATGAAGAAATTCAAAAAAGTGAAGATTTTTCTAAAAAAAGAAAATTAAATTAATATTACAAAATTTTCTATTATGTAGATATAAATTTTATTTTTATTTATATAAATATTTGAATATAGAAATTTCAATATTTATTTAATGAATATTTTTAAAAAAGAAAAGAAATGTATCCTTAACAATTTAAGTTAATTTTATTAGGAACAGTGATTATTCTTTATGTTCAAAATGTGAATGAATTTATTTATTTTAGAGAATTTATGAAGAAATTATTTCCATTAGTTCAATAGTAAATATGGCTAGAAATTAATAACTAAAAAATAGAAAAGAAAAAAGTTAAAAGCTTCATGTATTTTCGTAAAAGGAAATTTTTGATTCTTTATGTATTTTATATTTTTTAATATATTTTATTAATAATATAATATTAGTATTTATATATTTATATATTTTTAATTTCTGCAAAATTATTTACTGGGCGAATATAAATATTCCTTAATAACTTTTTAATTACCCTTCAAATTTTTATAGATTTCTTTTACAATATGCGAAATAAAATTTATATTTTTTACATGTTTATGAATCATTCTTTTTTAATTATAAAGTATTATTTAAAAATTAATATAAAAACTAAATAAATAAAATTCTAAAAAATATTATATAAAAATTAAAATTTTAACAGTATATCTTTTTATTTTATACATATATAATTAAAAATTAATTATGTAACACATTTTTCTTAATATATTATTTTCTTTTTTTGAATATTATTTATCTAATATCCAAGGAAATTCCTAAATGTAAAAACTTGAAATTTTAATTATATTAATTATTCTACAATAAAATGTTACATTTCATTTTTTTCATTGAAACCAAAAAATATGAAATAAGTATATGAAGTATTGTAATAATAGTTAAATATATTTTTTTTTTGTATTATCCATTTTAAATTTATAATTACGTTGCACATTTTTAAAAACTCCAATGGAATATTTATAATAAATATCAAAATTATTAAAAATTAAAAATTTTGTCTTATTTCATGAAAATGTATAATATTTATAACATTGCTATAATGTTATATTTTTATTTTTATTTTTATTTTTTTGTTTTATTTTTTTTTTTTTTTTTCATATAAAGAAAAATTATTTTGAATAAATTATAAATAAAATTATTTTGGAAAAATTTATATCTTTTTTCTTTTAAAAAAATATTTAGCTGTAATTAAATTAATATAAATGAGATTTTATAAATTGTTATAATTCGTAATGTATTATTAAAACAATTTTTTTTTTTACATATTTATTGGCAATTAAAAAAAGATTTACATAAATTTCATATATTTAATAATCATTATATTTTAAAAAGGAAAATATTTTATAAACTTTAATTATTTAATAATTAAAATACATAACTTTTATAATTATATTGAAATATATTTTAAATTATTGGGTGTGTGGAAATAATGTATTTTTTTTTTTTTTTTTTTTTATGTTTAAAAAAGTTTATTTGTTCTAATATCCATTAAGTTAAAAATCATAAAGTTTAATGATGAATTTTACTTAAATTATTTCTTTTAACAATTTTTCCTTTTTATGAAAAATTGTATAGTATTCCATTTTTATTTTCACGAAAATTAACAATAAATTTATATATATATAATGGAAGGGTAAAGGTTTTACGATGCTTAAATATGGACTTTTAATATTATTATATATATATATATGAAAACAAATAAAGTATATTAATAAAAAAAAAAGTAAAAAAATATTGAGATTAATGATTGAATACATATAAATATACTTTTAATGTGTTTTATTTTATTAATTACTTTATAATATTACTATAGTTACTAATTCATGAGTTATTTATTACTTTATTTTGATGTTTTTTCATTATTTAAATTATTTATTTAGTACGACAATATATATAATTTATTTAATGCGGTCATTTAGTCACGTTACAAAAAAAGGGCTAAAAGGAAGAATTTAATTTTCCTTTTAATTATAAAATTAAGATATATATTAATAGTACAAATTTGAAAATAAAATTAAAATTTGTATTATCAGAATGAACAAAAAAGGGAAAATTATTTAGAAATAGCTATATACAGTTCTGTACATACTCAACTTCAAAATTTATTTAATGAAAAAACTATAAACTACGAAACAAATATAGAAAATATTAATAATTTTAAAATTTAACTTTTCACTTAAATTTTTTTTTTTTTTTGTTTTTAAACTTGTGTATTTAATTATTTTCATTTGAATCACAAATATTGTATAATTAAATTTTAATTTTTTCTTTAGTCTTTTTCTTTTCATATTATTTTTTTATTTTTGTTTTCAAAAATGGATCAAATACATAATAGCATTATTGTTGATCCTTCGGAAAAAGTGACGAACGAAAGTCACAAATTTTTCGGAGGCAAAAATAAAATATAAAAAGAAACTTTATAAAGAAAATTAAAACTAATTTCTTTTTTTTCAATTTTTTTTTTTTTTTAGAAGCGGTATTTAATTTTTCATATTTCAGAATTTATTGAATATTTTAATTTTTTAATATATTTATACATTTAAAAATTTTATAATAATAGATGAAAATATTTTTTAAAGAAATAATAACAGTAGTATATTAATTAAAAACATAAAATAATATATATATGATTAACTAGGGAACTGTAATAAGTTTAGTCATTATATTCGTGGACACAATACTATTAACAAATTTATTAATAAATGCGAAAATAAGTTGCGATGGATATTTACGTAAATAAATTTTATTTTTTAAAATATATATTCTACATTTAAATAAGAAAGAAATATGTAATACAGTAGTGTATTACCATTATAGAATTAATCTTTTTGTTTTTTTATTTATAAATAGGAACATGGGTTATAGGAGCAATAATTCTAGTAAATTTTTAAATTAATATTTTTCATTTGGTTTGTCATACTCTTATTTAATAATTCTTCAATTTTTTTTAAACGTATTAAGAGCTTTTTCTTGTTTTCCTTCGTTAAAAGAATTCAAAAATTATTAAAGGAAAATAGAGGAGTATACTATTTATAAATTTAGTTATTACATAATAATATATACAATATTATACATGAATTTAAAAAAAAAAAAATTTAGAAGCTAATTTTTATTTATACAATAAAAATTGAACAAGAGAAAGACCATAATAATTACTTTTTTTTCGAATTTTTTTTTAGTTATTTTCTGAGGTTCTTTTAATGTTATTATGTTTTTTGTGGACATACTTTGGGACAATTCAGGTGTATTTAATAATATGAAATTAATTATATTTTATTTGTATTTAATATATTTTTTTTTATGATTTTTTAAAGATAAATAAATCAAGTGCTTGCCAAAAAAATGCACCCTTTTTATTTTGGGCAGTATTTACCTTAGTAACAGCAATATGGTATATGAGAGTAGAAAAAATTGTATAAATAAATGATTATATGAAATTATGTGTTTCTATTTTTTATTACAAAGGTGCTCAATTATAGGAATGATTTTGAGCTTGATGATTATAACAGTAGTAAGAAAATTAAAGCTTACAATTTATAAAAAAAATAAAAATATCTAAATTATATTTTATTTTCCAAATGGATATTAATTATAAAATAAAACAAAATAATGAAATACAAATATTCATTAATCTTATTATCAAATAAAAAAAATTTTATTTATACATTTAGTTGATTTTAATCATTTTAAAAATTTTTACAGGGATCCTTTTTTATTATTAGATCTAAAGTAGATAAAATATAAAGCAAAGATTTACTACTTTTAATTATTGTTATATTTTATCTTAAGAAAGAAAAGAAAAATTGAGATAAAAAAAGTTATTAAAGCAAAATTATTCTTTTTTTTTTTTTTTTTTTAATTTTTTGTTGCTTTTATTTTGTTTTTCGTTGTACAAATTTTATAAAATTGATATTTGTCAAAAAAAAAAAAAATGTGTAGATTATGTTTGTAGAAATTTATATGTATGAAAATTTAATATTTAAATAATTTTTATATATTTTATTATAATATAAAAAAAGAAAATTACTTATGAATAATATAACTTTTAATTTTCTATTTATACTTCATATTCTTAAGCCTTTAATAAAAAGGATAAAATTTTATTTGAACAATGAGCATATTTTAATTTATAATATAAAAATTAAAAATATATGAAATAGTAGGAATAATAATAAGTTTTTTATTTTAAGATTATGAAATTATAAATTATATATACATATATATTTCTATTAGGGTTTAATAAAAGTTAATGAGATAATATTATATTACTATTTTTATTATATGAAAGATCTATAAAATTTATTTATAAATTGCTTATTTATTATAATATAAAAATAAAATTAAAGAAGACCGTTCTTCTATGCATTGCATTTTAACATGATAAAGAAATAAAAAAAAATTAAATAATGCTTTTAACTTGAAATTGCAAAAGCAATTATAAATAAAAATATAGATAATTAAAATTTATAATAAGCATTAATGTAAAACTTGTCCTTATTTTAATTTTTTAAGAAAGATTTTTAATTTACATACATTAAAACATGTTAAAAAGATATTAAATAAGTGATTATTACATTAAAAGGAAAATAGTACTTAAAAATATTATGTATTATAAATAATAACTCTTTTAAATCTTCATTATTTTTTTTTTATTAATAAATGTTTTCATACAAATATTTTTTAATTATTTTTTTATGAGAATGTATGCTTCAAAGGGAAAATTTTGAGCTTATTATAATTATTATATAGATAATAAGTATTTATTATTTAACATTATTTTTTACTTTGTGAAATCAATCAAAGAAAAAATTTATTGAAAAATTTACTCCACTAAAGTAGTAGATTTGATTTTAATTTAATATTGAATATTCCTGAATTGCTCTGTTCATTAAATTTATTAACATATTCATTTCTTTATAAATAGCAATTAAAGTAAAAATTATGATATTAATTTTTTTTTACATATACCAATTTTTTACAAAATTTGATTCTTAAAGTTTTATTAAAATAATGATATAATTACTATCTTTTATTAATTAAAACATTTATGCTATTTTCCTTAAAAATAACAGTTTTTTACCAATTATAATTAGTTTTATCTTTTTTATAATTATAAACAGGATCTATTGTAAACATAAATACGTTAATTTAAAAAAAAAAAAAATTGATTTATATTTTTATAAATTTATAAGGAAATATATGAAAAAAATAAAAATAAAAAATGAAATATAAAGTTTACACAAAATATATATATTGAATTATAAAAATAAAAAAATTTTTTTTTTTGAGTCATACAATATATATGAAATGGAAAAAAATAAAATATTGTGAGAAGTTCCTTGCAATATTATGTATGCAGAAAAAAAAAAGAAAAAAAAATAGGTAACCATTTTTGCATTTTTTGTGCATATGGTATTAAAATTAGTTTCATTACAAGATAGGCTGGGATGCAATGGCGCGGTCCTTTAATCCTAGTTCTTAGGGAGGCCTGTTCCTTCGACGACAGCATGCCTAAGTTGCGGGATGTGCAATCAGGGTGCCTAGAAGGATAAAAAAGCCGTGAATGGACGAAGAACACTCCTAGTAAGCAATATCCGAGTACAGACGCTATACCCCTGACATGTATTGACTCTCGAAATGTTTCTGAATTCTTGACCAAGCTGCCTGGAGGCTTTGCCCCTTGCAGATGGAAGGACGGGATGAGGATTCTTATGTACTGTTCCTGGGGAGGTGAACGTCACGCAATGTGACTACGATTCCTGTCGTGCTCACCAATATACTCCGTCGCAACCATATACTTCGGTAAAAACGTCTTGTCATGAGGCGCAGTAAGTATGACGTTGAAGTATGCAGCACGATACGACGTACCACCTCTCAGGTCTCAGGTGCATGCGGAAGTGTGCACGCACATAAGATTTGCTGTGTCTAGTCACGGGCCCAAAAGGCCCAACCAAGTAGCTAAACGTGTTGAGGTGAGAGGTACTGCATTGTCACTAAGGTACATACCATGGCCCTTCATCACCAGGGAGCGTAATGACTCCTTCAGTGCCCAAGCTGTAATAGAAGACCTGGTGAGTTTGGTCGTGCCTCGGCAATGATAAAGGTTAAATAGCAAACAGCTGCTAGCATGCCACTCTATACAGGAATAGTTGAAATAAAAAGAATCCTGAAGTAACAGAGGTTGTGTTGTGTGATATATAAGATCTGTCATAAGATATGACATGAACAAATAAAATCATCTGTCATAAGATATGACATGATATAATCACCACGCAACCAATGGAACTGAGGGGTGATACTATACTGTGTAGAGAGGGGTGTACATTTCATGCCTCTCATCTTGGCTTAGCAGTACATTACTACTCCGAGTAGATGCTTGGGACTAGTCTACGGCAAGCGACTGTAATTAGAGTCTGCATGGTATGATGGGGTGTACGGGAGAAGTATAAGGGTATAAGATCAACGGAACGGAGATATCTTGGCAAACCGGCATTTGCAGTCACTCACGTGACAATAAAGTCACTCCGGTGACAATAGTCGCTCATGCGACACCATTTTTTTTTTTTTTTTTTTTGAATTTTTACATTGTAACAACTTTTATTATATATTTAATGCCTTTGCCTTTTTATATATATATATTTTTTTTTTTTTTTACTTTAAAATTATAAAGCTTAATTATTATTTCATAATTTCCTTTAATAATATCAATTACCTAAAAGTATAAATATATTTTAAAAAAATCTTTATTGACATTGGAAAAATATCTACAGAATCTGAAATAAATTATATATATTAAAAATTGTAATTAGTAAGAGTTTTATATTTCTCTATGGAACACAATGCATATGGAATTTAACAGAAAATACATATGCAAATATTATATAAGATTTTGAAAAAATATTTTACGTTATAACATCAAGTTAAGAAAATTTTTGTAAGCTTATAAATATGATTTATTTTTTCTCCATAAAATTGTCATTTTTTTGAATGTATTTAAATTAATAATGGGGAAATAAATGAGAGAATGATAACCAATTTAAATTATTCAAATATATATCTAGCAATTTAAATAAATTACTTCGATTAATTTAATTTAGATATTTTATTTTTCTTGAAGAAATTAAATCATGATATTTTGTATTACTTTATATTTATAGTTAAAATAATTATATATCCTACAATGCAAACCTTATAATTTGTATAATTGTGATTGCTTTGTTTTTCATTTATCTATTTTTTTTTTAAAATATATTTATTGTATCTATAAATATTTTATTATCATCTTATAAAATAAAAAGTTCTTAAATTGATATAGATTTTTCTATTCTTTGGAAACTTATTTTATTGACTTAAAGCAAGTGTAAAATAAATGTTTACCTTTTATTTACCTTTATTAAAAAGGAGTCCTCTATAATGAAATTTATATAGCATCCATATTAATTGGTTTTTTTTCTACAATGCACAGTATAATTATTTTAGATGATATAACTGCAAAAGTATATACTTACAAAAATAATATACAATATGTTTATTTTTTTGTTAACTTCTAAAGTAAATATTTTTTTTCTAATTAAGTGTACATATTTTTTTTGTACTTATTTTTTTTTTGGTGTACAGGTATATGTGTTAATTAATAGAAGGTATTATTATTCTCCTTGGGGATAAAAAGTAATAGATTTATGAAAAATAAACAGTTAACTACGAAAGCACTAGATAAAAAAAAAATTAATTTTTTTTGTTTTCTTTTTAAAAATTTAAAAGACATAAAAAAATATATTTACATTTAAGATGATTTAATGATTAAAAAATTTTAAAAAGGAATTTACTAAAATGTTTCTTGTAGTATATTTTAAGTTTTTATAAGAAAAATTTATATTAACAAATATAAAATTTTCATGTTTGTAATATTTTTATAATTTAATTTGTATCTTATTAATTACTTATTTTTGATAATTTGAAAGGGATGAACTTCATTTGCTAAACATTATTAATAGAATTATAAGAAAAATACAATTAAATGAAATTGATAATAAACTAGGATTTAAATTTTTAATTAAAATAGAGATTTTTATTTAATTATTTAAGTAAGATGCCTCTCAAAAAGAAGAAATGTTCAATGTAGACTATATAAATACAGTTTACTGGTTTATAGCATTTAATATTTGATTTATTAACTGGGTGTTCGGTGACTTTACTAGAGTACTGAAAAAAAAAAAATTAATAAAGAGCATGTAGAGATGCCTCTACGATTTTGTTGTATTTATATATATTTTTAAATACTTTGAACGAGAAATTCTTAATAGTGTGCTCTACTTCGTTCAGCATTCTTTAATTTCAATAGGCATTTATTTACTTTAATAAAAATCCTTATATTTATTAAAAATTTAAATCCTTATGGAATATTGACTATTAATTAAATGTAACTTAATTATTTCTTTGTTATGATTTATGTTCAGCAATTTAAACATATTGGTGTTGAATTAACAAACATAAGAAATTAGTACAAATGTAAATAAATTATATGAATATTAATTACGTGAAAATTTTATTGTCATATGTATAAAATTTTCTCTCACAAATTCAAAATATAAATATTATGCAAATTAAACTCTTTTATAAAAGCATTATTATCTTTTGTAAAAAAAATCTCCCTCTCAATAAAAAAATTCTCTTTCAAAAAAAAAAAATAAAACTTTTTTTATTTTATTTTACTTTTTTTTATAGTTAGAACAGCCAACTACGTA